TACCAATTAGTTTGATATTAAGAGTAGCACTTTTCCATGAATGGACCCCAAGTAACAGATACGGTTTAAGGGTGGGAGGGGTATATGGATATGGGAGATTAGGGTATGAATCAACAGTATGGGTTCAGTTCATGTTCTCAATGTCATAGGTTTTGTGTGCCAACCAGAGACCAGCTCATTCTGACATCTTTAATATGCCATTGTCCCATAAATTAGGTAAAAAAAATTAATAAAAAGATTTGTGAAAGCAAATAAAAAAGACAGTTTGTGCCACAGTGGTGTAAGGCAGTTACCGCGGGCCCCAGTGCATGCCATTGTGACGGGCCCTACAGCTCGCTAGTTACTAGTTATAAGGCTCCCACACACACCACTGGCATGAAAAAAGCCAAAGGAATCTAATGTAGGAAGCTTTGCTGCTTTTGACTCCTGTTCGTTTCTCTCTTGTCCTTTCTTACTGTCGCGTCTGTGTTGAAAAGGCAGGACTGATGGGTTTTCATTTTTTAGGTCATATAGCCTATAGCAACCATTTTGAATTTAATGTGAGCTCATCTTTGATCACAGGTGTAGTTTGAGGTGGCAATCTGAGTCATTTGCAAGGGCCCCCAGTCCATTGGCCTCAGTGCAACCACACTGCCTACACTGTGTATATTTATGCCCCTGCACTGCACTGCACTGCCCCCCAGTGTAAGAGCTCGGCCCTTTAGCTGTCCTACCCACACTCACAACTAGTATGGGTGCAAACTAATTAGATTTTTGTTCTGTGGGGTATTAATTATCATCTAATTGTCTTTTTCTCCAAACATTCTTGCACTTAAGTGTTTATGGTTTGAACTTCTCTGCTGTTTCACCACTAGAGGGAACACACGGTTCAGTGTTTTGTGCTGAGGCTGTCTGTGGTAGAAATGGCTGCAGAGGCATCTAGTGGCTCCAAAGCTTTATAGCTGAATTAGAACAGACTCAAAGGTCCAGTCTGTGAACTGGCATCTTTTAACCAGGTTTCCAAAAAGAGAAACAACCAGAATTATATAAATATTTATTTGCAACATCAAAATTTATACAAGGAAGAATAAAGTGCTTTGAGATTTTTTTCCTTCTCATCTTATTTCAATTAGGACAATAGTTTGCTTAGTGCATGTTTATCGTTATACAAAGCAGGAAGCAAAGGAAACAAAATACTATGTCTGTTACACAAAATGGCATTTACAGTGGGTGTTTTACTGCACTCAAGTTGGCTCCCCTTCTGTGCTTCTTTGCTTGAAATATGAATAACTCATGTGATCCAAAAGCAACCTGACAGAAAGACTTTTATACACTGCCAGTCAAAACATGTCCAACATTGTAGTTTTTCACCGTTTGGATTGATGTTAAACAGTTTATTAGTGATCCCATCATGATCCCAAATCATTAGTCACCAGAAAAATGACTGCCCTGTAGACTTGTGACTTTTAATAGTAACACAGTCTACATGTTTTAACACCTGCGTCTGATAAAGCACTAACTGGGATCTGAAAGCCCACCCATAGGTCTTTGTCACAGCAGAAAATGCACATTGTAGGAAAAGTCAGAGGTGGAACTGATGACCTTAACCATGGCTCACTTCCATTTAGGTGTCTCAGTAAAACATTTACTAGCACACACAAAGCCAGGGTTCAGGGCATGCAGACATTTCAAGAAAAGTTTCAGGACTCTAAAAATAAACATTAAAGTGTATCAAGCTATCAAGACACTCAGCGCAAAGACGTGTCTGAGAAACCTTGATCATCTTTGAAAAGATCTGAAAACTGGACAGAACTGTTCTGGCAGTCCAGCAGTGCTGTTAAAAATCTGCACATCAAATCAAAATCTAAAACAAATGTATTGTGTAGTACAAGCCCAGTCACTGGAATAAAATGTCAGCATTGTAGGTCTTTGCAACATGGATATGTTACATTTGTTTGTTTCATACGTATTATATCAATATTTCTAAAGTGATGCGGTGCAGATTACATGTATCTGCCATGCAGCAGACCACTGAGATCAACAAACAAAAAAGTGGTATTTTTAGCTGACATGTCAGGATATTTCTAATCATGTTTGTTGCAACAAAACCAGGTATTTTTTAATGACATGTCAAGACATTTCCAGCTGTGTTTGTTCTGAAAAATCAGGTATTTAACAACATGTTCAGACATTTCCAATCACATTTGCTGTGACTAAACTGGATAATTTTTAATTACACATCAGAACATTTCTAGCCATGTTTGTTGTGACACAACTGAGAATATTTTAATGACATGTCGAGACATTTCTAGCCATACTTTTGGCAACAAAACCAGTGTTTCTTGTGAAAAATCAGGTATTTTAAACAACATGTTACGGCATTTCCAACCATGTTTGCCTCAACTAAACCGGATAATTTTTATTTACACGTCGGGACTATTTCAGCCATGTTTGTTGTGACAAAACTGGGTGTTTTTTTAACGACATGTTGGGACATTTCTAGCAACATTTGTTACATAAAATAGAGTATTTTTTAATGACATGTCGGGACATTTTTAGCGATGCTTGTGGCAATAAAACCAAGTATTTGTTGGTGTCATTTTGAGACATTTCCAGCCATGTTTGTTGCAACAAACATGACGTAGAGCGGGTATCATTTAAAGACATGTTGGGACATTTCCACCCAAGTTTTTGCAACAAAACCAGGTACTTCTAAATGACATGTCAGGACATTTTAAGCCATGTTTGTTGTGACACAACCGAGAATATTTTAACGACATGTCAGGACATTTCTAGTCATGTTTGTTGCAACAAACATGATGTAAAACGGGTATCATTTAATGACATGTCGGGACATTTCTAGCCGTGCTTGTGGCAATAAAACCAAGTATTTGTTAGTGTCATGTTGGGACAGTTCCAGCCATGTTTTTTGCAACAAAACCAGGTATTTTTTAATCACATGTCATGACATTTCTAGCCAAGTGTGTTGCGACATAACAGGGTGTTTGTAATGACACAATTTTGTCCGTGTTTGTTGCAACAAAACCAGGTAATTTTTAACAAAACATTTCAATCTGTGTTTTAACCCAAACTGGGTATTTCACTCATGATCTATTTCTAACCCTAACCAAGTATTTTTTGTGCTTAAACTTAAACACATGTCAACAACAATGTTAGCACACCTTTAAATTGAAACGTAAACTTTTAACCCTATATGGAATGTACAAATTTACCAAATGAAACATGCAAATTTCACATATCCATGGTTTGCAAAAATGTACATTGCCAACCTTTATTCTAGCGATTGGTTTGGTTGTACATAGTCATACAGTACAATACAGCTGTCTGTCACAGTGGCCTAACAGAGTCAATTAGGTTACTAACAGGTAATATGTACCTATACTTTTGCAGTTATTTCTAACACATTTATGAATGCATAGCTTTAGAGCAAACTTTAAATGAAGTATAATATTTTTCTTTTGGCTGGCAGTGTATGTTTGTCAATAAAACTAACACTTAATTCCTGCAGACCATCTCTCACAGCCATTTTGATAGAAAAACACACACCTGCTCAAGCAATATAACCAGCAGTAAAAATAAAATAAAATAAAATAAAAGTCAAGAATAAGAGTTGCAGTATTATCAGGAACAGCGGGTAGACCGTTCTAACAGCTCTGTAACTACCTAAAGGTGACAGGGAGAAATACATTCACATCCTAATGGTTGCTGGCCACATCACGGCCAAATGGTATTTTAACAGTTGTTGGTTTCAGTTCGCTTGAAACAACAGATGGGAGAAAGTTGCCAAATTTGATAATCTGGTCAGTAAAGTGAAGTCTGACAACAGAAATTCTGTAATCAGTAAGATGAATTTTCTCAAAAAATGATCGTTTTAATTTGTATCATGTATTCTCCAGGTGTTCTGAACCTGCTGTTTTGCAGCCCCTGCAAAGAGGAGGTCAACTGTTTTTTTGTCATGTGTTTTACAACCATCATAACAACTGTAATTTACCTGATGTACAGTTACACTTGACTTTATCCTGACTGTCCCAGTCCAGTGACTTACTGCACATTTCCAGATACTGTACTCCTCAGCCTTCATCCCTTTGTTTCCTGCTGTGCTTTACAGTAGCTTCACATCTCTCTGCTATCACAGACAATGAGTACACTTAGGCTGCATGCACCCTAGTTTCCATTTCATACATCTGAGGTGCTCTGCGTTTTACTTTCCATCTCCAGAACCTTTGGCGAACAATAACAGCACAAACATAATTTAAAGCCACCTCTCAGTATTGTTTCTGTTATCACTGGCTGCAGCCTCCGCGAGAAACAAACCAAGAAAAATGTCTTAAATTAATCTATAAAGTAAAAAAAAAAGACTATTTTGCTTTATACTGATAAATTAATGTCAGACTCTCTTTAGTGTCTAATCTAATGGCTCCTACAAAGGTAATTATTCTCTTTTGTTTTCAATATTCTGTTAAAATGCAACTTAGTTTTCTGACCAAAAAATTGTTTTAACATAAGATTTATAACGCTGTCTTCCTAAATTGCTATAAATCAAGACATTTGTCTGAAGTTATTGAACTAAGGATCCTTTCACAAATTCAGAAAAATTCTTGATTGCACTTGGAATGATCCTAGGAGTGTGCTGCACAGCAAGACGAGCAACAGTAGTTGCTCATCACTAAAGTAAAATAAAAGAGGGTTTTTAATGATTTACAGGAAAAGATTTAAAGGTCCAGTGTGAAGGATTTAGGGGGATATATTGGCAGAAATGAAATCAAATAAATGTATGCAGTGTATCGATGTGTTTTCGTAACCTTAGAATGAGCCATTTATATCCATCATGTCTGCCATGTTGAACCGCCATGGACAAACTAAACACTGGCTCTGGATAGGGCCATTCGCCTTTTCGCATCGGCCATCATAGTTAGCAGCCCCTCCATGATTTGCTGTATTCAGTATTTTTACCGGTTTAAATCATCGGGTTCGTTTGTTTCAGAGAGGAGGAGATGGCTGCAAATAATTTGGCTCCCATATAAAAACCTCCTGAACATCTGGGGCCCATTGCACAAAATACCTTTAGTTAAGATTAGTCCAGGTTGAGGCTTTCTTGAAATAAAATTAGTTACACAAAACATGTCATATCCTTCAGGTTTTATTTAAAGTTTTCTCCTTATCTTGGTCTCATACTTAAGAAATCCCTCTAAGATAGTTAGACCATTGCACAGAAGACTTTGAGAAGCTTTGAGCGCAAGCAAACAAATCATGGAAATTCTTGTAAACTCATGGAAATCTCTTTAACTGCAGTAAATGCCTTAACATTTTTTTCTTAACTAAGGAAACTTTTCTAAGGGATTCTGTGCAACACCCTTAAGAAAGTCCCATAGCTAAGGAAAAATAAAGTCTTAAATGTCGTACTTTTAAGGTGTTTTGTGCAACAGGCTCCTGGATCTTAAGTTATCGGAGAAAAAAGGTGAGCTCACATTAGCGTGTGGTGGGCAAGTAGCCCAACTCTGACAAGCCAAAGAGCGACACAGTGATTTGTAATATAAATCTGCTTTTTTATACTGGATCTTACTGGAGAGTAAAAAACCTCTACAGATAATTTGACTCCTGGTAAAAACCTCCTGAGCAATTAATGCTGAAGGAATTTTAAGCAAGAGAAGTTTTAGCTGGTTGCAATCTACAATCCTCACCACTAGATGCCACCAAATCCCTCTAAATTTTACACTCTGGACCTTTAACAAAACAGGTAGTCTCACAAAAGTGCAAATAGCAGAATTTGGGAACTAATACAGGCAAGATGCCCACTGAAACCAATGAACAACATGGAGATAATCAAGCATAAACTGACTGCTTTTTGAAAACAGTGCATCTTAAAAATTGACCATTTAACTCTTGAGCTCAGTCCTCTTCAAGAAAGAAGAGAATTACATCGTAATGGCTATTGCTTTCATAAAATCTCTTGTTTAAATTCACAGAAAAAAAATGACCTATGCAAATTGTCCATACAGTCTAAAACATGACTCAAGTATGTACTTTTACTGCCACTGTGCTTTCCTTTGGTTGTCATAATAAAAGCCCATCAGGTTTTGTCTTTGTCCTCCTGCAGAATCATTCAGGTTGATTGTTATGGCTCTTCAAACAGTGCAGTTGCATGTCCCAGAAGTTATTCAGGAATGTGCAATCTGTTTTGTAATTTCTAATCCCAATGAGAAGAAATAACAAACAAATATAAATGTAAAACAACACCAGCAAGGCAAAAGGGGTTTACATTTCTGTACATGCAATCCAAAGTCAAACACAAGCAATCTGTCTTCAGGTCCAGCTCACTGTAGATAAAGTTGAAAGGATTTATAGGTAAAAAAACAGACAATCTTTAGCTCTCTTGCTCGCTCTTATAGGTCACTGGATCGAGAGGGATGGCAGTCTGTAGGATGTCAAACTCCATCTGGTTATTGTCCATGTCCAGAACACACATGACGTTGTGATTGCCTGACGATATGGTCGCACTGTCCTGGAACATATTTTGGAAGTCTACAGACACCGAAGTCCTCCTCTCCTCTGCCCTCTCCTTCTTTACAGTCTGGGAGTCGAAAATGTCATCCTCTTCCTCCCCACAACTCAACGCCACCTCGTTCTCATAGCAGAAGGCGCTCAATGACCTGGGGATCAAATCTTGTGTGGTCCTACATGCAGAGACAGGTGAAGCAACAGAAGACGCCCGGCTCGCGGCCTCGTCCAGCTCTTTGGCGCTGAGGTGGGGAGTCGATGGCACCTCGTAGGTCTTGTGGAAGCGAGCGTAGTCAACCTTGTAGCAGTCCCGGTCCTCATAGATCACAGGCTCGAACCTGTGACCCCAGAAGACCTCTCTGGCAAGGTAGGAGCTACGGAACTGGGTGGTCATGGCCGTGGCCTCCACCATTCCCTCCAAGATTACGACGATCTCGAAGTCATCTGCCTCCAGATCAGCTCGGCTTAAAGTATATAAGGGACTATCTTTGTCTATCTCGTGGATTATAACCAAAGGGGAAACCAGAAACAGCCGGTCTGTGCCCTCGTCATAGCCCACATTCAGGTCCATCTGCTCCAAGGGGATGAACTCGCCCTCAGCTGTGACGTATGAACGTATGAGCTGGGCACGGACATGAGCCTCCACGATGTGGCTCTTCCGCAGGTTGCCCACTTGCCACATGAGGCACAGCTTTCCGTCACGCAGGGCGATGACAGCATTTTTCGAGAATATGAGGGTCTGGTTCCTCTTCTTTGGCCGAGCCATCTTGGCCATGATGGTGCCAATCATGAAAGAGTCAATGATGCAGCCGACAATGGACTGGATGACAACTGTTAATACAGCGACAGGGCACTCCTCGGTAACGCAGCGCCAGCCATAACCAATGGTGGTCTGGGTCTCCATGGAGAACAGGAGTGCCCCAACAAAGCCGCGAACGTGAAGTATGCAGGGCATCCTCTGTGTCTGCCCTCCATATGTGTGTCCAGAGGTGGGTCCATGCAACCCGGGCACCGCCATCCCATCACCTTTAACCGCTGGCTGCTCCTCAAAATCCCCATGAGCCAGGGAGACACTGTAAAAGATAATGCCAAAGAAAAGCCAAGAGACCATGAAGCTGGTGCAGAATATAAGCAGCAGGTATCTCCAGCGGATGTCCACGCAGGTGGTGAAAATGTCAGCTAGGTAGCGCTGCCTCTTGTCATCCATGTTGGTGAACAGAACATTACATTGTCCATTTTTCTTCACAAACCGGCTCCGTACTTGGTTGGAGCCCCTTGTCAGAACCTTCCCGTTGTAGTTGTTCATACCTCCTTGTTCACTTGTGCCGGGCACGGCAGCAGAGGCTCCCGACCTCCTCCTACTGTCTTCTGCGTCACAGGTCGAGTGCAGACGGAGGTTGGGGGAACTGTGGCCGTTATAGAGTCCTAAGCTAGAGATCTTCTGGCGTGTCTCCTCCGGTAAAATGTCTGACACAAAGCCGTACCTGTCAGGCCAACAGAGAGGGGGAGATTAGGATTCAGAAAGTGACATTAAATTGACAGAATTACAATCAGGTAACAGCATGAGATTTAAAACTTTAAAAGTTGAGAAATTAATCGTGTTATGAAAATGTGGACCGGGTTCAGGCTGATTTAGTACAGCAATATTGGCCTTTTCTTAGACATCTGCAGCCCACTCGCCAGAAGAAAATATTCAGATTATACGTTTTTGCAATCCACCACAAATACGTTATATTTACACATAACATATCATATCAACCCTCCTAAAGCAATGTAATATATAAGGTGACTTTTGTCATCAGACGGTGGAGGGGATGGATGGTCAAACCTAGATGCTTTCAGCAGTACATGTACCATTTCCCAGCAGCATTAGAGCCACTGAACCTGGATGCTTGCAGTGCTTCCCAGTGTGTGAGTGACTGAATCTGGGTGTGTGTTTTAAGCCAAGACATGATCTTTTCTCAACCCTAACCAAGTGATTTTTGTGCCCAAATCTATCCTCACGTTCATCAAAGCCTTATTGAGAAAAGTTTCAATGTATCCACTACAAAATAATGTACATATGTAACATATCTGTGGTTTACAGAAAAGTACAAAACTATTTTTCTGGTGATTGGGTTGACATTTGCGAGCTTCGAGGTTCCCGTCTGGCTTCAGAACATACAAACTGGTGATCAATATAGTGTTGGAAACCAATGCCTCATTTTAGGGGAGAAATCTGTCAGAAATTAAGTGTCCCATCAAAATGTTTTTTAGTTAATGATAGTCCAAGTGCTGGTTTGAGGGCTCCCATCCTCCCATTACTTAAAGTTTTTGGGAAATCCTTAATATTAATGTGTAAAAAGTGTGTAATAGACAGGTGCTGGATCCATTTCATTCAAACTGCAGTGTGCACAATATAGGAAAGAGGAACAAAGAGCAGGAAGACAGCTTACAGAGCCAGTAATCTTATTGATCCTCATGTATTTTCCAGTGTACCATTTAGAGCACACTGTGCTCCCTCTCATAGACAGCGACAGGAAGATGATACCTGAATCATTAGTGATACAAGGGATGCAAGCAAATTGGATCAAATAGGAAACGGACAGCCACACAGTTTAAGGGGAACTCGCCTGTGAATAAAAAAAGATTAATTTAATTCCCAAACATCTACTCAAATTGACCAAAGTCCCAGACACCTGAGTGTATCGATCAGCCTCACCTGTCTCTCTCCTTTACCTGGAGGATTAGCAGCTGGGAAGGTGAGTTCAGTTTAGCTATGTGAGAAGGATTGCTGTCATCACACATTATAGGATTATATCTGAGTCAGTGTCAGTCAGACAACCCATTTTGAGGCTGGTCGGTGTAGATATATAGATGGGTGTTATCACTGCCTTTTAATAAATGTTTGAGAGTATAATTATGCTCCTTTAACAGCAAATCAATGTTATTTCATTTGTGGGGGAGGGGTGATTTTGTCTTGCTACAGCCAGTGCCCAAGTTTTGTGCATGAAGTCAACTTTTACTGTGGCATAAAATGAGTTTTATGTGGGCTTGAAAACAGCACACTAAGAAAGAAGATAATAAGACAGTTGGTACACACGTACAAAACTGTAAGACAAATGGAAACTCATATAAACTATGAGACATTATCCCCTAACAAGAAGAGATGGTATGAAATAAAATACTGTATCAACGTGTGTACAGAGCAGCTATTCCATCTTCAGCGTCTTGATGCCTATTAAAACAGTCAGTCAGCATTCAGTCTTCATATTTTCATACTTAGCAGGTGATCTGTTGCAGCTGCCTGGAGGCAAGAGCTCTTCATGTACTGCTGTTCAGGACAGTGTAGGATGGCCTTGGCCTTTCTAAGGATGTGCTTACTGTAAATATCTCTGAGCCGGTCCTGACTCACCCTGACCAGTTATTAACAAGCCCATTCTTACCGGCTGTGTTAAGACTTCCGGACAAGACTATGTTACAAAAAGATTAAATTATTTCTGTAAAGTCAGAGTCTTCATAAAGCTTTTGTGATGCACTTCATTAACTCGGTACAAAACACATGCATGTAACAAAATAAGGATTTCAAAGGCTGCACACAACCATTGTTTAAGACAATCGCAGTTTCCAGGATATGTCTTATAAATCAAATGTGTGTAGTAACACCAAAATGTAGGGGGTTGCATCAGGTGTGCCAGCCCCGAAATTTCTCAAAAGCTCCCTGTCTATGCTTAAAGAAATCTCGTACAATTGAGTAAGTGTTCTCCAGTTGGCCTCATATTTATTTAAGAGTATTAAAGAGCACATTTACTTGGCATTGTTGCATCCCTGATTTGCAACCCAGATTAATATTAAATGTATATAAATGTAGGAAATTGGTCAGAAAAACACTTAAAATGTGAACAGTACTCTGCCACTTGCTGCATTTACACCAAACACTTCAGGTATACTACTCTATGGGTGCTTTCAGACCTAGAGTTGTCTTGCTTTGGTCTGAATCAGGGACTAATTTTGTCACAAAGTTGTATAATTGTCTAGAGTTGGTTCATGTTCAGAAAGCTGCTCTTGATTGGTCAGAATTTCCATGTGGGAAAAATCCAGGAAGTAAAGCAAATGTTGAAGAAGAGTACACTTGCAAGATAAATGTGACACTTTCTAATGTCACAATGGAGGGACAACTACGCAGGTTGATTTTAGCGCTGCTCATCGTGGACTATATTGCTGTCATTGTACATTTTAGTCAAACCATACAGTTTGAAAACGAGGCGCGGCTCCAACTAGAAAACAATGTTTTGATGCATTGGATGTGCTGAATGTGCATATTAAGGCAGTACAGGAGGAGGTGCACATTAATAATCCTCCAGGACTGTAACATGCTCATGTTTAACCCAAACAATGTGTCATGTGACTGCAGTTGCTTCACATCCAGGTCGGAACTCCTTCTCACCACAAATGAACCGCACCAGTAGCCTGGTTCCAGACCATAGTCCCCGCCCACTCAACTGAGTAGGCTTGCATCTCTGGTCTGGCATACTTCAATGAATTTGCGATTTATCTCGTCCAAACGCTGGATGGACCAATGAACGCCGGGGGTCTAGCGATTAGCCAATCAGCGCCACGCTGATGTCAAGCTGTACGCCGGTGGGTAACTGGTGAGGATAGCAACAATGGCGACCGCTACAGATCCTACAGACCACATTGACGATGCTATCGAGGTATTTCGCCACTACTCGCGTTAATGGAGGACCAAATTAAGGAAGCTGCTAAACTGGATTTAACGGCGATGCAGCTGGGCGTGTGCGACGACGGAGACATTTTAAATGGGCAATGCTTGCTTGTTTTCGGCACCCCCGAGGCATGGATACTAATGACGTCAGATTCTGGGTGAGTCGTTGATCTCTACTGATTGGTTAGGGAAAAAATCAAATTCCCTCCCTCTTGTAAATCGCTTTCAATGGAAGCCATGTCAGACTGAAGGTTCTGGGAGCTTCAGTCTGACACTCAGGCTACCGCACCAGAGTTCATTTGTAACCAGACTGAGACCACCTCTTCAAGAAGGTCTGAAGGTTGTTTTGGTGTGCACCCATTTTCTGGACAAAAAAGAACAACCTGGAGTGTTTACAATCTGTTTCACAATCGTGACGGGACGTAATGGAACGGTTCTTTCGGTACCATCCTCAACTTTTTACAATGGAAATGCAAAAATAACAGTGTTGGAACCAGACTGCTTGGTGGAAACAAGATTAGTAATGCTGTTTATCTCAAAATGTATGTCACTTAAAAATACAGTAGTAACACCAGTACATTTTTGCCTCTTTATAGGTGGAAGGAGTGAAATTGAGTCATCTGCAACTCTTGTTGTTGTTGCGTTTTCAGCATGATGAAGACAGCTGGAGAACAATTAGATTGTAAGCTCGACAGCAACTCTCATATTTTTCCCAAATGATGATTTTCCCGCAAAATCACCCCAAGCAGCGGCCATTTGATTCTGTGGTTGGTGCAGCCAAACTAAAAGTTGAGGATAGTTTACTTAAAGCAACAAACTGCAGCCAGAGAATACCCACAGCCAGTCAGTAAACAGAGTCACCTGACTCCTGTGATATGTTAACCCATGTTATAAAGAATTTCTCCCTGCCTATAACAGGTGAAAACACCTCTCAGATGCAGCAAAATTTAATTATTGCAGTGAACTGCGCTACTGCTACTTGGTGTGTTTTCAGCTTTAGGCATTCTCTTACCTGAAATGGCTTGAAAATTGTGCATATAGCTGCAAACCTACATGGTTTCAGCTGAGCCCTCAACACTTGGCACCACCCTTGAACATATGGTACGGTGAGGATGGCAAAATCATGGTGTGAAGTGGCACTTTGACACCTTTATTTCTCATTTCTTTACCTAGTACAAAATGATTTAGGTGGCAAAGGAACAGTCCAATAACAGAGATGCTGAAATTCAATTCAGGCCTTAATAAAAACTCAAAATGACAAGGTAATTGCATGATTACAATCCAAGTATAATTCTAGACAGGCAGCTGATGGTTAAGTCCCTCACCTGTTGGCCCGACTTGTTCCCATGGCACCAAGGATCTCGGGTATGGGGGCCTGGGTGGGAGGCCAGACTCTGCCACCATGGAGGTGGTGCTTGGGTCACTGAGAAGACCGCTGCAGGAGAAACAGAGAATTAATAAGAAAAATGAGCCTGTATCAGTTCATGTAAAATCCCCATCAAATTCAGTAAAGGCACCAAAGCTTCTGGATTGAGAGCTGTTGATTTGGGGGAGGTACACTTTAAAAAAATCCCATTTCATCTCTTCATATGTATAAACATTGTAACCTGGGCCTGTGTTTCTAGTGTGTTTTAGTGCACTAAAGATATGGACTGAGACTTGATCTTGATTTGATTCTGCAGACTGTCTTGAGGAACAGCGACCCTGTCTCACCCTGCTCTTTAGAACAGAGTTGTAATGTTGCATGTGGGAGTAAGTGGTGGTTTTACATTTCATCTACATGATGGAGACATCTTGTACGCGTAATTATAGACAAAGCAATGCAGTGTTTGCTTGGTTATACAACATGTTTTAAATCAGCCCGTCTATTATCTTTAAACCTAAAGCTTAAGCATAGTGGTGTGCGCCCAACTCCTCACCTCTCAAACACTCACACTGTAAACAGTATACTCCACTATAGCAGGATTTATTTAAATCTAGGTTTTAAAAATATGGAAATATGTTCAAATATAATTTTCTCAATGTCTGACAACAATGTCCCCACTGTACACCAGCACTAATCTGCTTTTCTGTGGAAAAAAAAAGTCAACATTTCTGTCTCCAGGAGGATCTCCAGGAAGTCTTAAATGACATCAGCGCAGCTTCAGGGGTTTTTCTCCTGATTACGTGAAACTGTCCTGAAATACAAAGAAAATCCTGTCATATAATCTTTCCTTCATAATACTTGTGCTACAGAACAGAGGGCTGCAGAAGTCCCTGTTTGTTTGTTTGTTTGTTTTTGCTTTTACAATTCTGTACATAATAAGCCTGGTCACAAGGAGAAATGTTGGTGTGGAGCCACGATACACTACATTTGCAACAATCCAGTTGCACAGTGACCCCTATATAAGCTCACTCTGTCATCAGGAGTAGGGGACAGTAGATGGCGTGTCACCTAAACTACAGACTAATGTTCCAGACCAACAAACAACAAACCATTTGTGATTTAGGCAGTCATCCCTGATTTTCCAGAGGCTTTTCTTGGCACAAAACTTGCTAGTTTTTGCTGTTTTGCTGTTTTTTACAGAGACATTGCTGCCTTTGCTCCAGGGATCATGCCCCCAAAAGTGGGTACTGCAGGCGAAAACATGATATTTTCCTACTATAACCAAGTAGGTTTTGTGCCTAAACCTAACCACATCAGCTACATAATAACGTGCAAATGTAATGGATGGCGGTACAGAGGTGCTGTGGTTGGCATTGTCACCTCACAGCAAGAGGGTTTCTGGTTCGAACCACTGGATGGGGGAGCCCCTCTGTGTAGAGTTTGCATGTTTTCCCTGTGTCAGCGTGGGTTTTCTCCAGCTTCCTCCCACAGTCCAAAGACATGCAGGTTAATTGGTGACTCTAAATTGTCTGTAGGTGTGAATGTGAGTGTGAGTGGTTGTCTGTCTCTATGTGTCAGCCCTGTGATAGTCTGGTGACCTGTCCAGGGTGTACCCCACCTCTTGCCCAATGGCAGCTGGGATAGGCTCCAGCCCCTCTGCGATCCCCAACAGGATAAGTGGTGACGGCAAATGAATGAATAAATGTCATGGAGCCCTCAACCCGTTTTCATTCCAATGTCATTTGGTCTGCGATTTCTGCGTCAGACACCAACGAGAAAAGCCATCCTTTTGCAGCGGAATGATACAAGCTCAGTACTTGAGCCAACCATGACATTTTTCACCTAACCATGTGCCTTTGTTGCCTAAACCAGATGATACGTGTTTGTTGCACAAGGAAATAAACGTAGATATGAGGTGTTTAAGCAATGTAAGTTTATTTTAAAAAGGACTGTATGCATCTAACGAGCAGAAACTGTACATTTCCTGCGCAGACAGAAGTGTATATTGAAAAGACACATAGCATGTAATAAGCGTAAACTGACATGGCATCCCAGAACATCAACAATAGACGCACCCAGGATACCTAGTGCGTCATATATAGATGCTAAAAATTCACTGAACAAGCCTCAATATGTGACTAGTTGGGAGTGAGAATATGTTGGATCTGTGGTTTGCAGAAACACACACCCAGCATTTTATCTGACGATTGGGTTGGTACAAGAAATGCACATTAAGGAAATTAAGGCACTCAGCTGTTTCACTGTAGTGACACTCACACAGGCATATCTCTGTATCTACATGAGGATTGTATTTTCATGTTTCTATGTGGTCTGTCTCCACACAGGTGTCTCTGGCTTCCAACCAACATCGCAGCTGTGAAATAAGTTCTTCTACCTCTGAGCTGTATCTATAAAAAGAAGATGCAACCAGCTAACAATCCATCATCGATGGCGTCTCCCTTTCAGTGCAAAGATTTGATAAACTGTAATGAACAAGAGGCCGGGAGAAGCAGGGCGTAGGTACCATGAGAGAGATGAAACACACACAATACAAACCAGCTAATGGTCACCAGGTAAAACTGGCAACTTTCACTGAAGCCAGTTTCCATAGGAACGTGTCTCCTGTGGCATTTGGGGGATGGAGCGAAGTGGAGAGAGTCACCGGAGACACGGTGATGAAGGGGGGCTGGTATACTCTATTAAGTGCTCTTATAACATGAGTCAGAGAGGGAGGGAGAGATGGGAGGAGAGGCAGGGCGTGAGGGCGGCAGTGCGACATCTACATTTGATTTTAAGTAAATAAGGTGGGAGAGGTGACTCTTAGTGGAGACATTTCTGATCCGTGTTACTGACTGAGAACTTAAGTGAGGACATAGTCTAAGACTTAGGTCAAAAAGCATTTTCAAAAAGCTTTTATGTTTTGCTTTATCTTAATTATCCTCCTGATGGTTTGCCCTAATGACACTCTAAGGGCAGTAAGAGGAGTTCATTAATTCCAGGAACACATTTAAGTGATCACAGATTTTTGCAATCTTTATTTTTGGTTTTTATCTCGTATAGATTTTATTTACTTTTATTATTTTTGTTTTGGATTGTGGATGAAAAGAGAAGTAGAAACTAATAGTAGAAGAGCACATTGAGGCTATGTGGTGCAAATATTCACGCATTATTAGTCAATTGATCCACAGTATTAGATGATTAACAAAAACATTCACCAAAAACTGTTTTGAGAGTAAACTAATCATTTAAAGGAACAGTGTGGAAGATTTAGTAAGATTTAGCGACATCTAGTGGTGAGGATTGCAGATTGCGATCAGCTGAAACTTCTCCCAGTTAGAATTCCTTCAGTGTTCATTGTTCAGGAGGTTTTTACCGGGAGTCGAATTATCCACAGAGGTGTCTTCCTCTCCAAAACAAACGGACCAGGTGATTAAAACCAGGAAAAACACTGAATAAAGCTGCTTCATGTGACAAATCATTGTTTCTCTGGTGCAGTTCAGCTCATCAGGGACTGGCCACCATCCAAGCACCTGCTAATGTCCGCTCACCTTTTTTTTTCTTATAACTTAAGATCCTCCAAAACAAACAGACAAGGAGTCTAATTTTTAAACAATGTGTAGGATCCATACTTAAACTGTACATACGGACAAAAGCCGAAAATGGCATGTGCTGATAAAACATTTGATAATATCTACAATAAGGCTTCCACCTCACCATCTGCGTCGACAATTTTCTGTCTCCCGAATATTCGTAAGCATGGGTCAAAGTTTCTCCCATTAAGTCTGTATTTATAGATCACAACTGTTGCATCGGACGTGGCGAACGACTCTTTCAGGCCTCGCTTTGTGCGTATGCAATGTTAATAAATGAGACCCCTGGTGATTAACACTGGTAAAAACATTGAATAAAGCAGTTTCACGTTAAAAAAATAGGTGTTTTTCCGACATTGCTCATCATAGGGGGGCTGCAAACTATGGTGGCTGACATGGAAATTCAAAATACAAATTGCCCTGTCTATAGCTGTTACTTGGTTTGTCCATTCTGGGCTACTGTAGGAACACCGCGGTGCAACATGGTGATCTCCATAGACGAGGACCTGCTCCCTATGTAGATATAAACAGCTCATTCTAAGGTAACGGAAACACACCACTCTTAGTTTTAGGTGATTATCACTAAGACAGCTAGGTTGGGAGTCTCCAGAGGCACCACGATAAGATATTAACGTGATTCTTAAGTCACAATACACTATATTATTGTGATCTTAAATGTGTTGTGAAACATATGTTGTGATATATTGTGATTCATTACCTTTTTTCAACCACAAATTATGTATTCAAAGGAAAATTTTGTCAGCATCGGTTTTATCTTATAAGACAAAAAATTTCAGTCTGTTCGTCTCATTTTAATCATTTTTATTGTAGCAAAATTCATGTAGCGGACTGAAAAAGCAATTGATTTTTATCATTGTCGTAAGCTACCAAAAGTTTAATTTGTATATTGATAATTTATATAATAAAATAATTGATACTTGTTAATATTTATATGATATTGCCCTGTAAAAATATTGTGATACTATGCTATATCGATTTTTCCCTCCCTACACACTGGACCTTTTCAGTGACTGTTGGTTTAATAAAACACATTTTACAGACAAATCAGTGTTTTTACTGATTAATTATTTCTGTGTCCGTGTATAAATTAAATGTGCGCATACCATATGTGCTCATGTCCTGTATTTATATACACTGGAGTGCACACTTGTGTGAGACTTTGCAGTGTTGTGGTCGTCTCATACCGTATCTCTGCATCACTAACTCCTCCTTAATCTCACAAATGCACAGATTAATAGTCTGTCATAATCTGACGCACTGAAATAAGCAAGGTAGAGTCACTTCCTGGAGATTTCATGACTGTTAATCCCAAACAAGGCGTAGAGTGAAAGACGGAGACGAGCAGGTTGGGTGGGGGGGGGGGGGGGGGGGGGGGGGGGGGGGGGGGGGGGGGGGGGGGGGGGGGGGGGGGGGGGGGGGGGGTTAAGATGCAGTGTCTACTTTCCCTAATGCCTTTTGTATTTACTTTTCATGGGAAACACGATTATATCTGCCATAAAAGGAAACGATACATCCAGTGAATACTAGAACTTTCTGGCCTGTTAGGTTTGGCAGCTTGTGAAGCATTTATGCAAAGTGATCCAAGTCATTTTCCATGATATGCTGGTCATAACTGGTCATTGACAGGACTAAATTATAGCTTTATGGTTTATGAAAGGTCTGTATGAAATTACCAAATGCACTCAGAAGTAAATTATGTTGCCTTAACATGTTTTTTTCTGAATCTGATTGTTAAGATTGCTTAAAACTGGCAGAATAACCTTGTTATATAAATTCAGCCTATTAATGGCAGCACGTTTGCAAAATATCCGTGATGTAATTCACCCAAGTGAAGTGCCTGCTGCTGACTGAGTCTGTCCCTTTGAAGCGATTGATGCTTTGGGCCTTTGTGTTGGGATCCTGGGACTGTGGTGGGTGACTGTTTGGACTCAGTCATTCGGGACTTTTGAGTCAGCCATTTCACTGAGCAGGTTCTCTTCACTTCCGTCTTGTTTTCCTTTGTGATACCAGCTCGTACAATGTAAAAACAAATCAATACGTGCCCCCGGCTTTACCTCTGCTCGTCACGAGCCAACCCACAGAGAAGCCAGAGCAAAGAACGATTCCCACGCTGCCATCGCATCCCAGACAACCTCCGTGTTGGCCTCATTTCAGACTTCTTTTTCCATGTTGTCCAAGTTGAATCTTTGCAAAACATTTTATTGTTCCCAGTTCAGGCGATAGATCAACTGTAAATGATCCACTGATGGTTTTTAAAGGTCCAGTGTGTCGGATTTAGGGAGATATATATTGGCAGAAATAGAATATTTTATAATAAGTATGTTTTCTTTAGTGTATAATCACCTGAAAATAAAAAATGTTGTGTTTTCATTACCTTTAGAATGAGCTGTTTATATCTACATAGGGGTCCTTGTCCACAGAGTCCATCATGATTTACCGCCATGTTTCTATAGCAGCCCAGAATGGACAAACCAAACACAGGCTCCACACAGGTGGTTTTGAGCCGGCCACTGTATTTAGCAGTAACAGCATGAGAAAATCAACCTGATCCCACGCTGAAGTTGCCAAAGTTGGCAGTGACTTGCTGCGTCAGACTCTGACAAAAAAAAGACGTCCTTTAATGTCGACATGATATGCTGCCAGTCGCTGTTTTACTTTAACAGCACTCAACGGCATCATGGGAAAACACAGCGGGACAAGAATGAAAGTTATGGTGAAGAAAGTCTGAGTAGAGTGGGTGGTAGGGGTGGTGGATAAGTCCAACAAACACTGACTTTCACTGGGGCAAGCAGTGTTCATCGTACTCACGTAGTGCTTTTATTTTGAAAGAGACTATGTAAACGTTAAATTTCCTGTGAAAATGTAAGTGAAATTCGAAAGAAGACAATGCATGTAACAGGCAGAACTGTCTCAGAACGTCAACAGCCAACACACCCAGGGTACCTTACATGTCATATCTGGACGTGGAAAGTCCATGACCAAACGTTGATATGTGAAACTGCTTTATTGAGTGTTCACCTCCTTAACGTCTTGATCTTAAGTTACCAGAGAAAACAGGTGAGCACACATTTGCAGGTGATGGGCTAGTGACCCATCTCCGACATGCCAAAAAGTGTTCGAGAAACACTGATTTGTAACATGACACTGCTTTTTCAGTGTTTTTACCATTGTAAATCACTGGTCCATTTGTTTTGGAGAGGATGGGACCTCTTTCTTCGGCTCTCGGTAAAAACCTCTTGGACAATAAATACTTAAGGAATTCTAACAAGGAGAAATTTCAGCTGGTTACAATCTGCAGTCCTGCTAGTAGTTAAAAATGTAAACAGGGTCTGTTTGCACATTGGGAAAGATTATATTTTAAATGAAAATATTGAGTAACATTTTCGTGCAGAAGACTTTTCTGAGAGGTTCTTTTTTTATCATTTTATTTTAAATGAAAGTAGGTTGTATTTAACCCTCACCCTACCCCTTACCCTAATTCTCCCTTTAATCATACACACTGCTCCTTTAAGCTAAATTTATGAACATCAACATTCATTTGCATTTTAAGGTGAAAGACTTCAGCTACTTTCCTCCTCAGTAATTTCAGTGTCTGTTTATGTCTGCAGACCTAAATGATCTGACTGTGACCCAGACAGTGAGCTTGTCACTACCATTGGTCAGCTAATACCATGTCTATAGCACATAGGTATGCAGTATACCTAATGGTTTTTTAGCATTTGGGGTAAAATGTCTTAGTGTAAGTATTTATCTTAACAGCCCTGGTTGCTGCTGGTCCAGAAAAGGACATTATGGCAGTTTGAATAAAAGACAAGATCAGGTCTGAGTGACATAAACAAGGCAACATAGATAAATGACGTTCTTCTCCAAAAAATAGAAAATTGTACTTTCAAACTTCTTTTTTTTTTCAAACTAAACTTAACAGTCAAGCTCCCCTCTGGTAGACTTATGGGTGACACTTTCTATGACATATTAAGCACACTTATAATATGGTATAACTTCAATATAGCACTGTATAATTATCATAAATATTCCTTATTATTTCAAATAATAATCATAACCCATTATAAAGCACTTAGTAATGACTTTTAAGGTCAAGTATCATATGAGGCCTACTTCATTACTGCTGGTCACTCACTGACATTTTTTGCGGGTATCATAGTGTATTATAATTCTCATAGTTGTAATATATTATAATACATTATAATCACTGTCATAATGCATTAAAGTGTGGTGATATAAGGTATTCTAAGTGGTCACTGGCTGCTTTAAGTGAAGTACTGAAATTCTTGAGGTAGACCAGATATAGTGCATTACAAGCTGGTGGTAAGTAAGTGGACATTTTTTGCTTTAAGTTAAGTGGAAGTTAAACACTACATTAAAAGTTTTATTAAGGTTTTCATTGTGAAAACTTTTTCATTTTTGTGTTGATCTAAGCCTCAAGCTCATAACTTATATAATTTGTGTTCCTTCTCTCCCTGTACTCCTCCAAGGCATCAGGTATCATGAGACCTTTCCTCTCTCTTCTAAAGGCAGAAGCAGACTCTGCTTTCTGATTTGATTTTAAGATGCACAAAAAAAACTTACAAAATAGTTTAAAAGTTGAAAATGAAGAGGAGATTTGTAGGCATTTCATAGCATTTGTTTGAAGTTGCTCAACAGGTGCACAACAGCATTATCTCCTCAAGGTATGTTTAATACCTGCTGATATGTTTCCAGGTGATGCCTTTGAGCCTCACCAGTGCCGTAGAGATTTACACTTTATGACGGAGAAGTGTGACTGTTCACTTGATCGTACACGACACAGCAGTTTCCATGATGCCTGAGCTTTAGTCTGTCTGACGCAGTGCTTATTGTGCTTAGCTGTGAAGGAGCTGCAAAGTTGTGTAGTGAACAAATTAAAAGCTGTATCTATCAAGTTGAATAGTGTACATCTCCTGATATTAAAATGCTGTTTGAACATAAATCATACTCACCCTGCAAGTGTACCTCGGTTGTAATTTGAGTTCCTCTAACTTCACTTCTCAAAATCCCACTTTTACTGTCCAGGGTAAAAGTCCCACATCCTTGGATTCATGTGGTCCCTTGTGTCACTCTTCCTCTTGTTGAGTTTCTTCTTTTAGTTTCTTCTTCATCGCTTATTCATTCTTGTATCCCTGTTGTTTCTGTCTTTTAATCCGTTATTGTCCTCCGCTGCCTCCTTGGCTGACTATAATCCCGTCTGTGCCGCGCTCTCCTGTGTGTACTCATTCACCTCAGGCTGAAAATGCTGTGTCAATCTCCCCTCTGCAAAGCATGGGTTCGCAAGGGGGGGAGGGAGGAATGGGATAGGAGAGGAGAGAAGAGGAGAGGAGAGGAGAGGAGAGAGGAGAGACAAAAAGGGAGGTGATAAAAGACAGGCAAAGAGAAGACATGAGACTACAGTAGGGCTGCCAGTGTGTCTGTGCACTCTAAGCATGTGTAGGTGTTGAATAATGTTTGATGTGTTCATGTAAGCAAGTGAGAGCTCTTTTGAGTCATGGTTTCTAGGCTAACTCTCTTCGAGGAACAACAGAGATGATACTGCAACAGGTGGGAGACAAAGAAAGTATGGGGGCTCGGGAATAAAAGTGGTTGAGTTGCCGTCATAGTTAAAAACTGTGAATCACCACCGTGATTACAATGGCACGCAGGCCTGTTACTGTAAAAGAGCCTGTGAACATAATCTCTGTTACATTCACTCCAACGCAGTCAAAACTCCACAGCTCTGTTAACACATGTTAAATGCCACATCAACACAGAGTTACGCAGCAGTTTTTCTGCCCTGCGTCATACTGTGGTGAATTGCACTTCAACTGCCAGTTGAAGCAACTGCCAGCAATGAAGTGTATAGCATCGCATCGCATCGCATTGTATCGTATCGTATCTTAACTTGAAGTGCTATGGTGTTGTTGGGTGACCTTTCAATAAATTACATTACAATTTTAATACAACTTAATGATGGAGGACTGAGCCTGTAGACTAGAACTTCATTAGCTGTTGGGATGAATACTTGTTGAGCAGAGAGATGACAGGAAGTAGAAGGAGACAGAGATGGAAGTGACAGGCAACAAGAGGTCATACGCAAGCCAGGGCCATAGAGTGCCGAAGTCACGCCCCTTCCGGTAGAGCTCATGGGACCTTAGATCGGAAAAAATATGAATGGCAGTGAACGGGGAGAGCAATATTATCTTTTGGTCCCATTTGAGTTGTGACTTGAAATCTAAATATGTTGTTAATGAATTTAAAACATACATTTTAAGGTCAAGAAAGTCATACTTTGTGGTAAAACTGTTGAGATATAAGCTTTTTAATTAGAAAGACTCAAGAGTACACAGGAGGAGGTCGAGTATGTGACGTCATAGCTTTCGCTCGCTTCCTGCAGCTTGGCCTCCCTGCTGAAATTCCACTGTTTTATGATTAATCGATTTATGATTGAAGATGTCTGTGTGTTTTGTGCCAGGCTGCAGTCACTCCAAGCTGCAGGAAGCGAGCGAAAGCTATGACGTCACATACGCGACCGCCTCCTGTGTAGTTTTTCTAATTACGTTTTTTTCAAAAGCTTATATCTCAACAGTTTTACCACAAAGTATGACTTTCTTGACCTTAAAATGTATGTTTTAAATTCATTAAATTATTGGATTTCATGTCACAACTCAAACGGGACCAAAAGATAATATTTCTCTCCTCATTCACTGCCATTCATATTTTTTCCGATCTAAGGTCCCATGAGCTCTACCTGAAGGGGCGTGACTTCAGCACTCTATTGTGGTTAAGGGTCAACACCTTAACCTCCTATAGGCCACCAGGGCATCTCACCATCTCTAAATGCTGCCCAGTTGCCAGAAAAAAATGTTGGCATTGTATGTTTCTGCAAACCATGAATATGTGACATTTGTATGTATCATGGGCTACATTGTTTATATGACAGCTCAGATTATGTGTACATGTGCTGACTTTCTCATCAGGAGGAGGGGACAGTGGATAGCGTGACACCTAGGAGAGATGGCTGCCAAACAGCAAACGGCAGCAGACCGCTGTTAAGGATCAAAGAAAGGTGGGTATTTTTAACAAGAGCTGGGGACATTTCCAGCCGTGAATGTACAAAGTGAGCAGTTTTTGTTAACAAGAGGTTGGGATAATTCAAGCAGCATCTGTAGCTACAAAAGCAGGTATTTTTAAGGAGAAGTTGGGACATTTCTCGCTGTGTTTGTAGCGACAAAAATGGGTATTTCTTTTAACAAGAGGTCAGGACATTTCGAGCCATTTGTAGCATCAAAAACAGCTTTTATTGACCAAAGGTTAGGGCGTTTCTAGCCAGTATTGTAACTAAAAAAGCAGGTAGTTTTAACAAGAGTTTGGGGCATATTCAGCCAATTTTGTAGCAACTAAAGTGGTTATTTCATTTGACAAGAGGTCGTGACAGTTCCAGCCATTTGTAGCATCAAAAGGTGGTATTATTAATATGAGGTTGGGATATTTCCGGCCATTTTTGTAACCAAAACGCAAAGTATTTTTAATGAGAGTTTGGAGCATTTCCAGCCATGTTTTAAGTGGCAAAAGCAGATATTTTTAACAAGGGTTTGGGGCATTTTTTAGCCATGTCTGTAGCAACAAAAAGCAGGATATTCTTAACTAGATTTTGGGATTTTTCCAGCTGTATTTGTGGCAACAAAAGAAGGTATTTTCGGACATTTCCAGCTGCAGTTCTAGTGACCAAACTGCATATTTTTCAACAAAACATGATGCTTTCTTAACCCCGACCAAGTGGTTTTTGTGCTTAACCTAACCACACTTTATCCACAGCCTTGTCACAACAGAAACAAAACGTTTCAACATAACTGCTACGTACAATGCCAAAATTTATTCTGGCTATTGGGTTACAGTAAATGAACCTTAAAAATGTTTGTCATTCACAGCTGATCATTATGCTAGATGGGAGGATTATTGGCATTATTCTGCTGGTTGTAAAAGACAAAGTCCCATTCAATAATATGAGATGTCAAATCACAGGCAGTAAAATGAAGCAAATGAAAGTATAAAAGTGAAAAAGTATGACTGCATTTTTTTTAATAAATGCCTCTGTTGGAGTGTTTGAATGTAATGCTGCGCCAGGTGCCTATAAGTCTATTTTATTGCACATCCTTTTTTTGTAGTTGCAATATTACTCTGCAAAAGGAATTACAGCAAAATGGAGAAACAGTACCTCAAGATTGTACTTAAGCTACAGAGAGGGAGTAAATGTACTTTGCACTTGTCTTTATTTCAAAGCTCATACAGTTCCCCTGTTCTTTATGGACGCAGCTGCACCAGGTTCATAACATCAGTTCATCAGAGTATTGGCTTTAAAACTAAAATGTATGAATTCTTAATCATCTGTTTGCATATAGTATCTGAAAAACAGCAGACCTCAGTAATCTGATCTTTAGTTATGGTGCTGTTACAGTCATTCTGCTGCCTAATGAAGACTGACACAGTCTCATTATGCTCAATAAAAAAAAAAAACAAGAGACATTTTCTAGTTTAATTTAGGATTCCTTCATCCAGACTTCACATGGCTATAGGAAATATGAATTGAGCCAAACAGTTTCTATGGAAACAGCCCTCCCTCCCCTCCTGCCCTCACCCACAGCTCCCCTTTAGCCCCCTCATGGTTCCCTCCCTCTTCCTACCTCTTGCTCTCCCTCCTTCCCTCTCCTTCTCTAAATTACAGAGCGGAGGGTTACCTCTTTTCAAAATCTCTCTCTCTGAATAGGAATGTGGGTGTGCATCTGCCCATATGACAAATACACAGAGGAGGAACGAGGGGGCGGATGGAGACACAGCAATGAAAGTAGCGGCAACAGTGAGGCAAACAGAAACTTCGAGGACAGACGGGGGGAACTTCCGGGGGGTAACATGTACACAATGAAGGGAATGACACTTGTGAATGAAGTCTGTTTGAGTTCTGCTGCTGTGGATGGCATGATGAGAACTGTTCAAGGGTCAATTAAACATGACAAGGACTGTGTGGTAGAAAATACTGGAGCCTAGTTTAGTACAGTTTTAGTAATACAAAAGCTTCAGAAGAGAGAATGAAGCAAGAGTTACACTCAAGGACTGCACCTACACATCAGCAGTGGCACCCTCGGAATTTTTTTATAGGGGATGGCAAAACTATGTCAGTATGAGAGTGAAGGAATCACATACCGACATACTTTAGTTTATTATTTTACAGTTAATATGACTATTGGTACATTTTGAGTTCCACAACAATCCTGTTTTAACGTGTTATGTATCTGTACATGTACATTAGGCAATTCATTGTTCTTCAGATAGACTGGTTGTCCTTTTCCTTAAAAAGACAAATATACAGCTTTAATTTAAAGGAATATATTGATAGTAGGGAACGAAACATCTACGGGGAACGACACAGAAGAAAGGAAAATTCCAAAGTCAGTATGTCATTAGTATGAGAGATTTGAAGAATGATTTTGACAATTTTCTCAAATTTCTTAGATTCAGCTCCTGAGAAATAGTCTTCCTCTTGTCCCAGCCCAACTAGGTCTCACCCCGAAGTCGTCGAAATCCTGTGCTTGGGCAGTGACTTGCCGTCTGACAAAAGTAGCTGTCCTTTAACATCGGCCAGTCGCCATTATAGTTTAACTGCGTTTGGTGGCGGGACATGAGCATGAGTTTAAGGCAGCGAAAGTTTGCGCAGGGTAGGAGGGAGGGATGGTGATCCAACAAACACTGACTTTCACCTGGAGAGTGGTGTTTGCGTTCTGTAAGGTTATAAAGCCAAACTTAACCACGTGTTTGTATTGCCAAAACCCGACCACGTGCGTTAGTTGCTGGAGGAAACAAAAACGTCAGTTTGCATTGTCGTGCTGACGTAGTAGCCTGGAAATCCAGACTCAAATCTAGAAAGAGTCTGGCCCTCAGCGATACACCCTTCCTACCCAAGGGGCGCCACTAACTGAGGCATTTCACATGCCGCCGCACGCAATTGAATAGCACGATGGCCAATCAGAGCAAAAAACAAGGTGACGTGTCATTGCACGTATTCATTGGTTTGCCGACCAGTGGGGCTAGCTGATATATTATGCTTTTGCTGTATCCCACTGGCAAAACAGCAAAAACGTCCTTCCTGGAAACGAAGGCTTCTAGGGCAGTCTTCTGTTCCTCTCTCAAGGAAAAAGATAAGTGTAGTTGGCTTAGCGTTTCTTCCAAAGCTAAATTGAATGGACGCGGTCCTTCGGCAGCTGCCATCTTGGCTGTTTACTTTCTGAGTCCAAAATGCCCCCCAATATATAACTGAAACTGAAAAACAACAACAAACTTTGTTTCTGCAAACGAAGTGGCAAATATTATCTTGGAGGACATCATTGCACTTGGTTGACTATTTTTCTATTATCTTAAATGTAAATATTGCATGTTTCTTTCAGATAAAACACATTTTGACTTGTGAATGACTCAATGGAATTTCTTGCAATAATGAAAAAATACTGGCAATCATGTCCGCCTGGCACAAACCTCATGTTTTGGACAGCTGTGAAGTGACAGAATGTCCCACCATCATGGTTCTTATATTGCCAGGTTCCAGAGAGTCTCCCCTCTTCATATATGGCAGAATATGTCACTTTCCAACTTGCTATGGTGAGATACGTCTAGTCACACAGATTTGTTTTTTTCATTGATATAAAAATTAATATAAAATACAGTCACATAGAAGGACATGTAATGATGGCAAATCTGGTTAGCCCAGATTGTCCTGAAAAAATATATAGCATGTGTATGTAGCCTTTATAATGACTGTGATATGAGCTTAAAAGTAAAGGCAGTAAAAACGCCTAGGGCCCATTAAACTGTGTTAAAGTCGAACAAAGATGTTTTAAAGTCTTAAATATGGCTTAAATTGTAGAGAGTATATTGGCTTAGAAAACTGTGATAATGCACAAGCTTTAAAAAAAACCCTCCAGGTGGTTAATTTAAACTCTGCATGACTATACCTTAAGTCTCATTTTAACGGTAATCACAGCCTTTACCAGCTGTAGTGTCAGCTCTCACAGCTGAGTGGAGCCTTTGCCACGCAGCGTTGGTGGTTTTCAGACACTAAATGACTGGGTGCTATAACAGTTAAAAAAGATGGGCTGTGTGTGATGCGAGAAAAGGTGGAGAGGGAGGGCGGGTTGCAGACAGACAGATCAGTCTAGCATCTGAGGAGGAGATGACAAGGCAGACAAGACGGACTCCTCGGGGCAGACCGTACTGTGTGTATGTATAAATAGCTGCTAATCAGGCCTGGGTGTCAGATTAGTTCCCATAACCTTTTGTTCAGCACACACCCACTGTGGTAGCCGATGTATGGGTCAGCTCTGTCTAGAAGATGTCCTCTATAGTGCATTTGTCTGGAATAAATCACCCATAGTAGGCTAAAAGAAGCATAATTGACTGCATGTTTTGTATATAACTGTTTGTTTCTTCTCCTTGCCTCTGTCTTCATTGCTCATTCATCACTCTTACTGTCTGCTGTATCAGATTTGACACAATATAAACACTTTTGCTTGAGAATAACACTCAACTTGAACAACCCTGTGACATAAATAAGGGTTCAGGCTCTGTGCTGGATGTTTCAGGGGTGTATAAAGAAGCTGTGTACTCTTCATCGGTGTGTGGCGCCTCCTCACTTCTCTGCACCACCACGGATGCAGTCTAAGTAGGCTGAAAGCATTTCCTCTGTAATCTCAGGTGCCCTGTGCTGATTTTACTGCATCAAACATAAGAGTAGGATGCCGGGGAGCAGAACATGTGTGATGCCAGAATTCAGATGCAATTTGTGGATTAAGAGGGAGGACGGAGGAGGAGGTGGAGACGGTGGGATTGGGGAGGGGGGTGAGAAATGGAGGGCGAGTGGACTGTGATTCAGATATAGGAGGGAAGGGAGGCAGTTGGAGCTGACGTGCCAGAAGACAGTGAAGACAGAGAGGGTGGAGAGTATTTTGAAACACTGAGAACTATGAGTACATAGCCTTTGGGTGGATAAAAAAAAAGATTTGGGTGAGATTATTTTAGCATCACAAATTCAAGTTTGGATGCTGTCTGACTGTGGCATTTACCTTAAGAGATAGTCCTCCATTTGCACACATCAAAAAAATTTATATTCATTCTGACTCATCTCAGTCTCATTTAAATGAGAATAACACAAATAGAAACAGTTCATCAGACAGCCGGAGGAGACTAAAATCATCTTTGCCTGTGTGGGATGAGATATTTTCAAATTACAATCTGTCACAGATAATTATTCATCGTCTGCTGTGAAACACGATTGCTAATGAAATCCACTAATATAATCCGTTTGAATCATTTCAATATGATCTGATAAGTACATTTTTTCATCTAATTACATTTAATTAAACTTATTAACGTCTCAGCCTGAAGACAGGTACATATTGGTGTGTGATTCATGCAGACCATCTGCCAAAGATGATAAAGGAGGAAGGTAAGATAAGGCAATTTATTTGTAAAGCAGTTTTCACAGACAAAGGAAATTCAAAGTGTTCGACGTAATGTACTAAAGCCATTGAACAGGAAATACAAATTTAAATACAAATGAAAAGGATAAGAATAAATAAAAGATGGCTTAATAAATGCAATATGGATAATCATGAATGTTTAAGGTTAAGATATTGGCAGAGGGGAATATTGATATTTTTAATCAGGATTTAATAGATATTGATTGATCTTTCTGAAAAGATAGACACCCTTTGGCTCTGGGGATGAGATGAGAAGATGCTGACTATGGACTGCAGTGTCCACAGTTTAAAACTGGCTCAGGACCTTTGTTGCACTTCTCTCTCCCTTGTTTCTGTTATCTCTCCACTATAAAGGAATAAATGTCCCCTAGGATTATAATAGGTCTAATAAATTTGACTACTTTTAGACCAACTAAATGCGTAACCAAAAAAGTTATTCTGCATTTCCCCCATTGAATTTAGTTGTGGTGGTTTGGGGAAGGCTTTGAAACAGTAAATAGAATATTTACACTTTATTTATTTTTTAACTTGTTTTGATTTTCTTATAATGTTCTAATTAGTCTTGTGAACACAGGCGGATTACTAAACACGCCTGCCGACATTGGCCCTGGGGACCAAAGCATCAGGGCCCCCTCCCCTGCCTTCACCTACAAAATGTCATTTAGATTGACACGTACCATCCAGGAAGAGAGAGAGATGCTGAACTGCAAAGAGACACAAGATTATGATAAAAAGGGGCAAAACAATCACAGAAACCCAAAATGACTGCAAAGAAACACCAAACAACCAGAAATGGTACAGAATTACCTCAAAGAGACACAAAACGAACACAAAAATATCCATAAGAATAATCCCAAAGACACTCAAAACAAAAGAAGCAAAACCACCCCAAAGTCTGAAGCTCCTTTTACACTGCCTCTTCAAGGCATGCCGTTATGCTGCCTTGGCATTCTTCATAAAAGGTACAATTGTGTAATGGGTTGACAGAGTTGTCTCATCTGTCAGCTGGTAGTGGAGGTAGTAACAATGCCTAAACCATGTCTATGGAAAAGGGACAGCCAGCAGGACAGCATCATGCGTGGCACATGTGTGATGTTATGAAAATGTGTTTTGCGTGCAACCCAGGGAGATTTGAAAAGTAGCTACTAGCATTTAGCAGCTAACTTAAAGAAGAAGAACAGCAGCTTAAAATGTTCGCAAATTGGAAACAAAGAGGTCTGGGAGCTCTTTATCCTCCGAGCAGAGAATGAGCTCAGCTCCCATGAACTAGGGACGGTAAATGATTGTTATTGCCATTTTAACGCCATTGTTATTGTGTATAAAGCGCTGCCGACGCGTATGTTATATGTCACACCAGGAGTAGACGCTGTTGAGTTACAAATCACGCCTGTCACCCCTCTTTTGCCTCTGCGATGCCGGCATGCTGTGTTACATCTTACGCTGGAGCCGCATTAGCACAACTTCTAATATGGCGGATAGCGAACTCCAACCCACAGAGATTCAGTGAGAAGTTATAAAAGTACTGAGAGCTGAACACACACAGACTTTTAAGAACACCTTTTTCTTTGGTCTCCAGCAGACAAAGGTAAGTAGAGTCTCGCCACATGCACGGCTTGTTTAGGAGGGAGAAGGGGTTTGCTGCAGTTGGCGAGACGATACTGCTACCTTCTTGACAGTGGGCGGCCTGGCTTTTGGACCTACTCCAGAGTAGGTCTATCTCCGGCGTAGCTTGGCGTGGCACGGTGCTTTTAAACTGACAATGGAAACACAAATCGGAGCGGCATGGCTTTACTCTGCGTGGCTAAGAGTGACGATGGAAAAAGGGTACAACTGTTCCTTGGTACATAGGTCACAGTCTTGCAGCATTAGTCTCATGATAAACAGAGAGAGTGACAGCAGCGCAAGGAGTGGCTGAGCAAAGCAATACACGCCACGCTGCTCTACAATTAAATGAGATTTTGCCCATTTCAAATAGTGAAAAAATATACAAGTCATGTTCATGCTGAGCGAATACTGACATCCCCACAGTTACTTGAGTGCTTGGATACTCATGCCCATTCCTAGTTCCTACCTATACTGACAGATACCAATGACACAACAGTGAACCCTACAGGACTAATTAGCATCCCACATACATTTTACACCAGGAATAGCTCCTACAGGCATGATACCACTGTTGTTTGGTTCTGTGTTAAAATGCAAAAAGAAAGAAGAAGCATGATCTCTGTGCATGATCTCTGTGTATAAAGGGTTTGTGTGTCTTGCTTCCATAAGAGAGGTGCTGGGGCCTTTTGCAAGTTTGTGCCCAGGGACCCATTGTTTCGTAATCCGCCCATGGATCGAATGACAGTAATCTTAAACTGGAAAACAGAGACACAATTTTCAGTTTTGTTTAAAGAAAAATGGAAATCCAATAAAAATCTATTTTAATTATTTCCCTCCTATTGAACAAAATGATAATTCATTATTGCCTGCAGTCTGTCGCCATCTGCTGTTTAATCAGGGCTTTGCTTCTTGATGGCCCACAAACAGCCTTACAGCCAGTTAAACCATTAGCATCAAGTTAGCCAGAGACAGTCAGGCTACACCGGAAATATAGAATTTTGCTTTCAAAATAAAAGAGTGTAATCTTTTAAAGTAACACATTGCCCGCAAATATTTATCAGAGTTGAATAATTGATAAATATAACCACAAAATGCGTACTTTTCATAATATTTTCGTGGGCTATTGGTGGTTTATTGTCAACAGAAGGCCGAGTGTTGCCTAATTAGACTTTTACTCTGAAATAAGTGAACCGGAAAAGGATATATTTGTTTGACGCAGGCTAGCTTGACGCTAGTTGCCGTTGTCCGAGCTGTCAGCCACGTCACCGCCTCTTCAACAACTTTCCTCCCGGACCTCTGCGGACACTTTGGAGTTTATGAGTGGACTCAGTGGACATTTTAATTGTTTTACTACATGTGTGTCGATAACGCGCCGACAAGCTACCGCACAGACTCGGAGTTCGCTGTGTAGCTGTTAGCTTCTTTTTAGCTTTTTATCCTCTTGCCATTTGTTTGCAGTCGCAGAGCTTTTTGTGGCTGTGACCAGTGTCCAGAGGACGTGTAAGGCCTGTCAGGAGTTTTACAGAGGTTTTGCTAACTAAGCGGAACACAATGAATATCTTTCGTCTGGCCGGTGACGTGTCACATTTGGTGGCTATCCTTATCCTGTTACTGAAGATATGGAGGTCCAGATCCTGTGCTGGTACGTTGACTCTGACATCACTGCACTTTAACCTACAGCTATGCAGCCTCACTGTAGCAGTATGCATGCAGCTATACAGTATATATAGTAGAGATACAGCAGAAGTGTTTTTGCTGATGTCAGTTAAGTTCATTATGGAGGGTGTGTGCATCATACTGGGGGTTCTGCTGGAGTGGAAGCGACGTGGCAATGTTAACAAAGCAATCAGCTGCCTGCTCCACCTATAATACAGCAGCCTCAATCTTTATGACAAGTCACATCTGCAGTATAGTTGTCTTCTTTTGTTGTTTACGCATACAATTAGATGAATCATGACATTTACTTCTTGTGTCTGTGAGCTGGCCTGCACCTGAGTGTGGTCATCTGCTTTTAATTGCACATTAGACAGTGGTTAAACTCGTTTTCTCTCTCTGTCTCTCTCTGTAGGCATCTCTGGGAAGTCTCAGGTGCTGTTTGCGCTTGTGTTCACCACCAGGTACCTTGACTTGTTCACTGTCTTCATCTCTGCGTACAACTCGGTCATGAAGGTAAGTGTAGATCACACACAGTTTGAACTTTGACCCTTAACCTGACCCCAATGAAAACACTGTTTTTACTAAAGACCTGCTGGGACACTGATCTAGTTTGAAATCCAGAATTCGTGTCCAAGTGCTGCATATATAACACACAGGTAGAAGCACACCAACTCAATCCAGGTTCACCCACACACTGTATGTAGTAACTGCAAAACAAGTAGTACTCAGTCTGTCTCACTAACAGTGCAACACAGTGTTTACACAGACTTCCATTGCCGATGTATAATTAATATTCTACTGTGCTCTCAGGTGGTGTTCCTGTCTCTCTCCTATGCCACTGTGTACCTGATCTACATGCGCTTCAGGAACACGTACGACTCTGAAAATGACACCTTCCGTGTGGAGTTCCTGTTGGTGCCAGTTGTCGGGCTGTCCTTCCTGGAAAACTATGCTTTCACCCCAATGGAGGTAAACAAGCACTTGGACAGCATCGTCAATAAGTTTGGGTCCTGGTAGAAAAGTTTGAATACTATGAGATCACACGGGGCTTTTAAACACACAGTTTGTGGGATTTATGTTCAGTTTAAAGGAGCAGTGTGTAAGAGTCAGGGGGATTTTGTGGCATCTCAGTGAAAACTTCTCCTGCTTAGAATTTTATTAGTGTTCATTGCCCAGGAGGTTTCTACTCTAAGCTGAATTATCCTCAAAGGCCTCTTCCTCTCCAAAACAAATAGCTCGGGTAAATAAAACTGGTAAAGCAGACTAAAGCAGTTTCACATCACCAATGTGTGTTTCTCTGACGCTGTTTGGCTCATCGCAGATTGGCCGTCAGCCCAGCACCTGCTAATTCGTGCTTGCCTTTTTTCTTTGATGACTTAAGATCCAGATGCTCAGGAGGTTTTTAACATGAGCCAATTGATCCACAGAGGTCTATTTCTCTGCAAAACAAATGGACCTGGTGATTTAAAGTGGTGAAACATTGAGTAAAGCAGTTTAGAATAAAAAAAAAAATCTGAATGACAAGTTCTCTCTTCTGGAGAGAATTTAGTTGGAAGAACATGTCTCGATTCTTCTCTACTCCAGCGCAAAAGACTGGCTATTCCAATCAGACAGCTTGCTGGAGATCATGTGGCAATGTAGTAGCTAACCACTTCCATATTTTCTGGAATTGCCCCTCTGTGGCTCCATTTTGGAGAGCTGTCCATGGTGTGCCGGAAGCAGCCTTTAAGAAGAAGGTTAAACTCAATTTCAAAATCATGTACCTTGGTGATCTAGAAGAGCTTCGCTGGGCAAAGCCAGATAACTATCTGATTTGAGTGTTATTGGTTGCTTGTAAAAAAGTGCACACAACTGTTCAAGTACAATGCCAGATATACAAAACACAGATCCTCCAGATCCTCCCCAGGATGTTTGTTCTTATGTTGTTTAGTTTATTGTTTTCTCCCCCTCCTTGTTAGGGTGTGTCTCTTTTCATTTGTATGATTACCTTAAATGAAAACTCAATAAAAAGTAAATGACCAAAAAAAAAGGAGGGTCTTAACTACGGCAACCGACACGAAAGCGCGAATGCCCATATCTAGTACCAGTGTTTGGTCTGTTCACTCTGGGCTACTGTAGAAACATGCTGGTGTAACATGGCAGACTCCAAGGATGAGGACCTGCTCCTTATGTGGCTCATTGTAAAGTAACAAAGCACAGTGATTCTTATTCTCAGGTGATTATACACTAAAAAAACATATTTATTTTATTATATTCCATTTCTGCCAGTATAGCCCCCTAAATCCTACACACTGGACCTTTAAGTTCAGGTTCTGGGTTAGGTGTTAGGTGTTGTATATACCTCCCAAACAATACAGCGTCAGCAGAAGTCATGTATCTCCCTTTCACTGATTCCGTCCAGATCCTGTGGACCTTCTCCATCTTCCTGGAGGCGGTGGCCATAATGCCGCAGCTCTTCATGATCACCAAGACCGGCGAGGCAGAGTCCATCACCACACACTACCTGTTCTTCCTCGGCCTCTACCGAGCCCTCTACATAGCCAACTGGGTGTGGCGTTACCACACTGAGGGCTTCTTCGACCAAATCGCCGTGGTGTCCGGCGTCGTGCAGACCATCTTCTACTGCGATTTCTTCTACCTTTACTTCACAAGGGGTGAGTAAAGACTAATGCAAAGGGGATGATTTATTGTGGAGACCTGTGTCTGATTTCAGCTCTGTTGTCTTAAAAACAGGGGGATAGTCCTATTCCACAGAGCTCCAGCTTTTATTTTGACTTTTCTTGAGTAGTCAGTCACCTCATTTATGAAATAACAAAAATAATGACAAAAGCTCATCAGAATTTAAGTTGTCAAAGCCCAAGATACACAAAATAGCATTTTCTTCTGACATAAAACAGAGCAAATATGCATTAATTAGACAAGTAGGCTGTGTGTTGTGCTGTGTTATTAATTTTTATTTCAGCTTCACCACTTGAAGATGATGAGTATCCTTCTTTGCAGCTGTTAAAGCAAAAATCTGGTTAAGAGACTGGGAATAGTGTTTGTTGTTAGCTCACCTGGTGAAAAGAGGAGTGGGAAAAGTTTAAATTGGAGGTTTCAAAAGCAGACTCTCTTCTCATGCCTGCTTTGTTCTCCATCTTTGTCCTCTGCCTGTCCGCAGTGCTGAAAGGAAGAGGAAACATGGGCCTGCCGATGCCCATTTAAAACCAACGTCTGTGTCGTTCATCCACCCACCTGTGCCTGCTACAGCTCAGTGTCTGAACACAGACCTCGCCCTACAACTGTACATGTATTTAGCAAAGGGACTAATGGTCTGACACCATTCTGTAGACCAAACTGTGTGCACCTCTAGAGATTGACTTTCTGTGTGATTGGTACTTTGTGTGTGTGTATATGTACGCGTGCATACATACACTGTTGTTGTAAGAAGTTTGCAATGTATGTTTGAGTATTTTTTTCTTCATAAGATGCAAATGTGACACTGGAAAGGTGTCCCCTGATGATGTGCATGTGGAACTTAAATCCAGGCAAGTGAGTAACACTATGGAAACTGTGTATTTGTCTTTACTTTCCCTTTGAGACTTTGGAGACCGTTAGAATGTTGAATCCACAAAATTGTAAAACATTTAGATTGTATGGAGTTTTAGATCCAGTCTTTCTTGAGTTCAAGGGAAACTTATTTTCCTATGTTTTTGTGTCTAAGTGACTAATGGGAATGTTTTTTAAATTGATCCAGTATTGAGAGACAGCGATGCAGTCAGCAGCTACAAAACAGGCTGCAAATGACCACTTGAGGCATTTGTGCACCCTAACTTTACGTCCACTTAAAGTGCTTATTTTGGCCACTGACAGGCTCAGATTGTTTTTATAGGTGTCTGACAACATCATGGAAAGGATCCCTACAGAGACAGACAGATTTTTGAAGAGTAAGATCCTTTTTGTTTAGCCAGAAACAGGCGTGCAATTGGCATCGCCACACCAACCAAACTCCATTTAAATACACAGCGATTTTAGCTAGTAGAGAGCCAGCATAACTTCACATCTGACTGGGTGAATTAAGGGTTTATTTTAACCAGACCAGAGCTGGTGATTGTTTGAACGGTGGATTGAACAACCAAGATGGCTTTTTAAGTCAGATTTTGTTTCTGTCAACTTTGAATGAAGTGGGTTTTAAGATGATAAAATCACTGTTTTTTTAAATGGAGTCTGGTTGGTTTGGCAATAGGGATTTGGGGGCTGTTTCTGGTTAAACAAAAAGGATGTTACTCCTCAACAAAAAAGTCTATCTCTGTAGGATCCCTTCCATAACGCAGTCAAACACTTGGAATAATAATCTGATCCTGTCGGTGGCAAAAAAGGACTTGTGAATTAAAGATGTGCAATTGCCTAGTAATGTTACATTGCATCCTGTTTCGCCACTACTTGCTGCAGCAGTCTTGCTCAATACTGGGAGTTTCAAAAATTGTTGTCTCCATTTGTCACTTCATCATAAAAACATAGGTAAATAGGATCCAGGTTGAAACATCCCAATGTTGCCCTTAAAAGCTGAAAAGTGCCCAGAGTTTCATGTCAAAGCTTCCTACACGTTATCCAAGTTTGACAAACTCAGTCTTGCCTCATGATTTACAGCAATGACAAATATTGTAGTTTCTATTTTTAAATCGTACACTGCACTCTTCCAGTCAAGTCAGTTTTATTTATATAACCCAACATCATAAATTTGCCTCAAGGGGCTTTAAAGCTGAACAGCTTCCACAAAGTGTCTTCCTCTTTGGATCTGTAATGTAAAGACACTCCCTGAATAGCTTACTGTATATGCAAATGATAATTCCTTTCATGATTTGCCAGGTATGTTGCTTTTTATATTTCCTCTTAATTGTTGTCTTTTTATATTTCAGTGTATTTCTTTAAGGGAGAAAAAAGGGCTAAACATGTTGTCACGTGTTAAATGAAGCCAAAGATGGAACAGATAACTGCTGCAATGTTTTAGTCAGACAAATGTTTTTGTTCTTTCTGGGTTGGTACTGCGACCAAACTGTCTTCTTGTACTGCGGATAAAAATGGAAAAATGGCCAGAGAGCGTGATGAATTTCTGTAAAAGATGACACAGATGTTTTAGTTGCAGTAAGTTGAATTGCACACATTTTTATGACATTACATTTATTATAACGTGAATTCTCTCAGCTGAAAGGTGTGGCTGTGGTTTTTGTGAACAATCCACATGGAGCGCAACGCACCAGGATGTTTGCCTTTCTGTGGAGTGCACACACACGCACATTCAGTCTTATTTTACAGGATGTTTTTAAAGTAGCAGTGCATCGTGTTGACGGTAAACAAAGCTTGTTAGCATTAGATGCACAATGAAAACAAAGCTCAGTGACTTTTTCTTTCACACATCATCAGCTCTGTGTTGATCTTAGGCGTCATGGCGGTGAGGGATATTTGACCTCGTTCAGTGAGGTGTTTTCAGGAAAGTTTTTCTGTGCTTATATAACACCTTGCCTCCTTCCCTCACAGCTCCTCCCACCGCTTTCGCAGCTGAAGTGATGGAGAGTGGCGACGCCGCCAGAGCAGCCGCCCTCTCTACCACCTTCACCTTCTTCACAGCCTTCCCTTTCCCTTCGTCCTTGTCCATGATCCCCGCCCCCTCTGCTGCACCTTTCCCCACTGCAGTCAACAGCTCGCACCAGAAAAGTCTCTCCGCTCTTTTCCTGGCCTCTTCTTCCTCCTTCCTCTTCTCCTCCTCCTCCCTCCTCCTCTCTAACTCTGGTCCCTGCTCCTCTTTGCCTGTAGCCACCTTGATCGGAGACTCCATCCTTAGTCCTCTTTGTCCCCGAACCCTCTCTTGCGCTTCCTTGATGACCCTCTCGGCCTCCTTGAACATGTCGTTGCTATAGCAACCGCCTCCATTGTTCTCCACAGCCTTGTTTATCTTCTCCAGAAGCTGTGCAACCTGCTGTGAGCACGCTGTCTTGTCATGTTCATGATTATTAAAGACGTGATACCCCCCGTGGCAGCTGCTGACGAATTCTGACAGCTCCTCGCTCTCTCCCAGGAAGTCCTTGATGCTCTTGCCCTGCAGCTGGTCCCCACAGGTGAACAACACCATGGTAAACTTGGTGGCTCCGGGCCCAAATGTAGCCTTGATCCACTCTAAGGCGTCCTTCTCCTCCTGGGTGAACCTGCCAAGCTGCAGGGTCACTAAGAAAGCGTGGGGTCCCGGAGAGGACAGGGCGACGCACCGTCCCACCTCTGCCATGACCTCCTCAGTGGACAGGTGTGTGTGGAAGAAGCCTGGAGTGTCAATCACAGAGATACTGCGCCCATCCACTGTCCCAGTCTGTCTCGTGCTCTGCGTGGTGACAGAACAGGGGGAGACGGTGACCCAGAAAGCCGACCTGCCCAGGATGGTGTTGCCTGAGGAGCTTCTGCCTGTTCCTGTCCTCCCCAGCAGGACGACCCTCAGGGGTTCAGCCTCTGATGGAGCGAGTGACGCTTCACAGACTGTAGCAAGATTCAAGCATAGTACATGTATATAATTATCATTTTATAATATTAGTATTATCCAGCACAGTGGTCCCCAACTGACAATGGTCCAGAGTGTAGGATTTTGGGGCATCTTTTGGCAGAACTGGTGTATGTTTTACTCCTCATGCCTAGGGCTGAATCCAAATACCTTCTGGACTTGTGGACTGAGTCCTTGAGGACTTCAGCTGTACATAGTATGACGCATTTACTGTCATCACGTAAAGTCAGTGAAGGCAGAGACTGCAAGCGGCTGACAGTCAGTCCTCAAGACTGTTTTACTTGTTGCTGTGGAAACATTCAACTATCACTGCTGTCATATTCATATATATGTCATATAAGTTGATGAATAGTGCCGAACTCATCTGTTCCTGCAGATAACAAGATAGGCTATTAATACATCTCTATATAACAGGATACTAAATAAGGACAGGACTGTAACTCGATAAATTGGGTATTACTGACATTAGAAGACCTTTTTTTTTGCTGTTTTTCGGACAATTTATGTATTTGTTTGAAGCCTGTTTCACTGCGCCGCCTGATAGGCTTCAATGATAAAATGCATTTTCAGTCCCTCTACAGCCTGTACTTCTACATATTTCTGTATTAGGATGTGGCTGAATATTATTTCTGGCCTACACAATTCAAGTAGCATTTAATAGGCCTAAATATCAATAACTATTTCACACATTCATAGGGTTTTTTTTGGCAGTTGATAAAACTACAACTTCATGTCCGTAGGGCAATGAATTGTGAGTTATTAAATCAGTGAGGTCTGCTGAAGAATGCGCCCGAAGCGGACTCTCTGCAGACTTCCAGAGAGTGCACTTGGGGCGCAGACTTCAGCAGACCTCACTGATTTAATAACCCACATGTCTGCACCTTAGGCCCCTTGTGGACTGGATGAATTGTAGACTTGAACAGTCCTTAGCACTCCCAGATTTCCCAAGAAGGCGCCCGCAAGGTCTGCCAGTCTGCAAGTGTGATGAAGTCCAGACATTTGGAATCAGCCAAAGGCAAGCGGTCCACTTCCACTGAGTCAGCCTTGTTGTTTCTACAATTTAAACACTGGCTCTAGATGGGGCCTTTCGCATTTTCACATCAGCCATCATAGCTCTCCTACATGCCTGGCACACAAGAGTATAAGTTCTGCATCCTCACTGCCAGATGCCACTAAAGCCTTTACACAGGACCTTTAAAACAGATTTATGTATATATAAAAAAATAATTATATACAATTTAAGATCATATTTGGGCTGATTTATAAAGCATGGATAGATTGTTTGATTTTAAATATCTATATATGATGTTTTAAATGACTTCTATTAGTTAGATAAGGGAGATTAAGGGGGAAGATTAGCATGGGAAGTTATTGTTCCTAGACTGCCTTATTCAGATTCACATTTCTTTATTATCATTGTACAAACACAACGAAATTCAGGTGCACTCAAAGACTGGTCTAATTTATAAAAATAACTGATAAATAGAAATAAAATAGCAATAAAAATAAATAAATAAATGCCTCCATTCCACTCACATTCTACACATTTGCAGATACAGACACTCTTTGCCAACATATGCAGTTAAAGTGGGATTTAAAAAAGGGCTCATGCATATTATTGCACATTAAATGAGTTATTGCACTTGAGAAAAAGAACTGTAATTCACATTGATGTGAAGTTAATGTTCCTAGACTGGTTTATCAGAGTTGTGTTCCTATTCTTAAATTAGATTTATACTATGTTCTCTTTTATTTGATACACACATTTATTTTATCTCTGTCAATTTAAATTTAATTTAATCATTTAGTTATTTTATTTAAAAAAGTTCCTTTCTCTTTTGATTATTTTTGACGCTGTTCCAATCTTAAAACACAAGCCAACATCTCATGTACTATCTGCTTTAAATCTGAATTTACACGAATTTAATTATATGATTCTTAAATATTTATGGAGATAAGAAATATGTATAATCTCTGGCTCAATACAAATAGTTATAATAAATGATTTTTTTTTGTTTGGATACCCTGCTCTGATCACCAACCTGGTTTGATAACAGTTATCGACATACCTTTATGTGACTCAGCATTTTCGGATGACGACATCCTCCCAGAGAGACAACCGCAAAGCCTGTGGCCTGTCGGTGGGCCTAAAATACAGGTAACCGAAAATACAGGAGACGGATTCCGTAGATTTCCTCTGCGTCTGAGATTCTTTCTGGCTTTTAAACCGTCATTTAATCAGCATCAGGAGCATCAGAGCAGCTGCAGTCCGAGGAAGAGCACAGATGCTCCACACCGCCACCACCACGCTGTAAACCCCTGAAATGATGTCAGCATGCAGTGAAGACCACCACATCAGACCACTGTTATTTAATACAAATAACGCATAAAACGATCAAGAACACTGATGTTAGTGTTGTTACTTAGGATAATCACACAATTAATGAGTTAAAGTAGATATTATAATGATTCATTGTTGTAGTTCCTGATTGTGGCCACTGGAGGGCAGTGAAATCTCACAAATAGTCTCAGGTCAACATTTACTACTCACTTCATATAAATACAGTATAATTAAAATAAAACAAACAAAAGAGACAGCTGTGTTCTTAACATCAGCTACACAGAGGCAAATTGCAATTTTATAGGTTACAGATCACCAGTTACCCAGTTAAAAATGTAGTAAAATTCAGTCCGTTGTGCACAATGCATTTATAAATCTCCAAATTGTATTAAATGCTGACAAAACAAAATATATGCTGTTCTCCAGAGCCCAAAACATTAACCACAGGACTCTCCAAATGTGTGCTCTACATGGTATAATCACTAAACATACTTAACCGTCTGGATTGATGATGAATTCACCTACAAATCACATGTTGATGCACTAACAAGGAAACTATAAATTACGCTTTATACAGAAACTGTCCTGTTTTATTTTATCATGTAGAAAGAAGACTGTGGAAGCAAAATTTCTGCCAGTGTTAGACTATGGTGATGTAATTTATTGCCATGCAGCAGCCTCCACTGTTATGCCCCTATATGCTGTTGTCTACAATTCAGCCCTTAGATTTATAACTGGACACAGCTATGGCACTCATCACTGTTTGCTTTATCAACAAGTGGGTTGGCCTTCTCTTTCTATTAGAAGGGACCAGCATTTGTTTTTATTTATTTATGAGGGACTTCCTCAAAAATTGCCCTCATATTTGATGTCACTTACTGGCTGGAGAGCTGACTGGTTAGTACTGCAGGTTCCTAGAACTAATGCTGATTTAGGAAAGATTGCTTTTAGATTCTTTGCACCACACACCTGGAAGGAATTGCAGTGTACTTTGAAGCTTGATACTCTGATTCCCATCGGTCCATTCAGAAATCCCAGTCAAAAACCTGACTAATATATATATACTAGTCCATACCCATTGGTAGCTTTGTCACCTTCTACCTATGCCAATCCTCAATGCCTATGTGCAGTTTCACATAGATTGACCACGTCAGTGAGTAGAAAAACGTGGGACAGACAGAATGACTGACTGACAGAATGACACACAGTTTCCGTGATTATGTACAGCATACCATACCATGACTTAGTCATACCAAAATTTAAAAAAACAAAAACATTGGTCCACAGGGGGAGCCACAGCGATCAGTCGCATTTTAGCCATTTGTAAGCATTTTTCTGTTGTTATAGCACCGCCCAGTTGCCAATTAGAGTTAAATTTCTCCAGTCACTTTGAGGCGTCCTGTTCTACATATCTACCAAGTTTAGTAAAAATCCATATGGCAGTTAGGCCTAGATAAGAAATGAGCTCTCTAGCGCCCCCATTTTGTTTGATGGGGTCAATAATGGAGGGGTCCCCTCAGATTATGTGTGGTCATATGCCTACAAAGTTGCGTGGTGATGGGTGAAACCCTTGAGATGTTATACACCTTTATGTGATGAGCCACGCCCTCCACAATATTCATTGCCTTATAGAAGCTCAGTTTTAGTAAGTTTTCCAACTTTTGCCAAGAGGGAACTTTAGATATTGGTCCCTAGATTATGTTCACCCAGTTTCATGCAGATCGCTCAAACTTCCTAGGAAGAGATCGATTTGAAGTGTTTTTCAAAAAATTCAAGTTATGGGTTCTTGAGGCAAATTTGTTCCTCATGAGGAGAGGCATATCTGTGCAAAGTTTCATGTCTCTACGACATACGGGGCATGAAATATACCCATTCAAAGTTTGCAATTTCAATCGGTTGCCTTAGCGCCCCCCTTTGGCCAATGGATCAGCGTGGTTCGGAAATATACCAAAAGAAGGAATTCCTACACAGCATAAGGACATAATGATTGTTATATTCTGCATATAAGCTTTACACTGAAAAAAATACATTTGGATTTATCCCTTTGTATTCACCAACATATTGATTAATAACTGTACTTCTGATTTTTTTCTCAATACCTGTTGTAAAGACTTCCTTTCCTCCCCTCTCCTCCTGATTGGTTCCTTTCACCCTTTGTTCACTCATTAACCTGACTGACTTCACCTGAGTGCACCATTGCACTCATTCTTTCGTCACCACATGGTGTGGCAGTGCTGGTGAGCAGCTTCCTTCTCTTTAGTTTATCCTGTGTGTGATTACTTTTAACCATGCATCATTTATCCTTATCAAGATGGACATTTGTTTAATTTGACTAATGTTCTAATTTTGTGTTTGTGTCTTTCAGACTCAAACCCAAGTGTGTTTGCTCCCCCTTTATGTTAAACTGCAATTTGAGTTTGGAAATAAACGTTTGTGTGCAAAAGGAAAGTTTCAGTGGCTAATGCATTCTAACAGATGTCCATGATAGTAGACCTCTCTGAACGATTACAGTTACATTTAGCTTGTAATTTAAAGATCCAGTGTGTAGGATTTAGTGCCATCTAGTGATGAGGTTCCAGAACTGAAACGACTCCTATGTGCTTGGTGTGTAGGAGAACCGCAGCCATATACGGACCTGCTCCGTATATGGATAAAAACTGCTCATTCTCAGGTAATAAAAACAATGTTTCTTATTTTCAGGTAATTATAAATGAATTAAAACAGTTCTGAATATATTCTGCCAGAAGATGCCCCTAAACTTCATAACTCTGTTACATGTAGTAAGTTCCCAGCCCTGCCAGTACTTATGGGGAAACTGAAACTGTGGCTGTTAAGTTCAGGAAGAAAAAACTGATGACGCTCTGCTTTGATTTCCTAATCGGTGACTATTTGATGCTGGGAAGAGTTGGCACTAAGTTAATTAGAAATTTAATATTTAATATATCACTTTGTAGCTGCCCCCTTATCACACAAATGTCATTACAAAGTACATCTACTCAGTTTAGGCTACTAATTGCTCACACAGCAGGGAAGAAAACCCTCCACAGATTATTCAACTAGATTTTTTAATACCTCATATTCTCCAAAAATGGTTTCCAAGCAGCAATAAGAATATAAGACATTCAAGTTGTCTGGCATTAATGAGTGCAACTGGGGAGTGAGAGGACGTCAGTCTCATTGTGTGCAGCCCACACAGTCCTGAGAAGAGGTCTAATTAGGCAGAATAAGTGAAAGCACCTGTGGAAGTGAACCGTGTGCCTGCAGGGCCTTACAATGTTGAGCTGCAGACATTTACTTTGTTCCTCTTTTTACACAAGAAATGGTAGAAAATGAGGAAAAACAGATCACCTCATAAATGAAACATGGAATGCTAAAGTAGTTTGTGAAAGCAGACAGTGTTTAATAGGATTTTAACAACAACATGTTGGGCAGTTTCAACCTCTTAACAGTTTAATACATAACCTTATGAAAATGTGATTATCAACATGTGCATTATGTTTAAATGTATGAATCATTTAAGTATTTATAATATTCCTACCAAAGATAATAGCTCATAATTAAAAAAGCTGCAAGGAAAAGCTGTTTCATTCAACTGTATTCTGTTCTTGTATTTTCAGTATGCCTCCAATACAGCGCTTTATTTCTCCACTCTGTTGGAAAGAAACAACAGCAGAGGTTCAGCTGGAAAACCCACCTCACTCTGCCGCTTTTTAGACATGCCTAAAATTTCAGTCTGCAATATTAATGTGGTAATGGTCCTTTTTAAAGGGACAGTTCACCCATAAAAATTAAAAATACACATTGTTCCTCTTATCTGTAGCACAATTTATCAGTCTAGATTGTTTCGGTGTGAGCTACTGAGTGTTGGAGATATGTACTGTAGAGATGTCTGCCTTCTCTCCAGTGTATATATATGGGCTGTCAAAATAACACTTTTATTTTGATTAATTAATGACAGAAAAAATAACAGGTTTAAAAAAAATAACGCTGATTATTCGTGCTCTGTGGTGCCCTTTGACCTGGTGCGTTATTGAAGGCCACAGTGGCTTTGTCACATGATGGACCTTTTCACTGCAATTTCTGCAGTAAGGAATTGTTGTACCATCGGAGAACTTAAATCCTGAATGCAAAGCATCATAGAATGTATAAAAATATAGATGTAGTCACCGTGATGTCACCCATTGGTTTCTGAGGAGCGGGTTTGAAGCTCAAAGTAGCTGGCTCTGGCCGTTGCCATCTTGGCAGTGCCTGACTCCGCCCAACTCCCGGCCAATCAAAAATGGGCAAAGAGGCAGGCCAAATTAAGCCTGGTTGCTTAAACACGCCCACCTCGCTCGACGCTGCTAAGTTAGCTAAGGCTAACAAGCTAGGCTAACAAGCTACGCTACTTTGGTTAGCCCTGTGGTGTTGGCTGCTCCCGCTTGGTGCCAGCTCCTTCACAAAACTTATTAATTTAATTTTGGTACGTTCATTTGCAACACTTGATTTTGTCGAGACTTGCAGTAACTTGGCCAGGGTTACAGTGAATCATCGTAATGTTTATTTAATACATATATAATGAATAATTTGAAGCAAATCAATTGACCTGAATTTAGATTTTCACGTTACTTTAGTAACGAGTTGTTTATTTGGATGTCACTTGATTATACTTTGAATAAGATAATGTTAATAAGCTAAGTCACATGGGTTCAGATGCAACTGAGTAAGTCTACCTGTGACGGACTAACTAACTCCCTTGCAAAATGGACTGCAGACCACTGTGAGTGGTAGAGGACAGGGGAACAATTGTGTGCAAAATCCAGCAGCTTTACTACGACACATCTGCCAAAATTAATTTGAATTGAAATTCTTTAAATACTTTCACAACAAAGGTTGACGTATGCAATTAATTTAGATGAATTTATCACGGAGCATGTAATTAATTTCATTAATTTTTTTTAAGCGCTCGACAGCCCTTGTGGATATATAGAACCAGATGGTACTCAGCTTGTGGTGCTCAAAGCCCCCCAAAAAATGACATCAAAAAACTCAACAGCAGTGTCTGTCTCCAGAAATCTTTTTTTTTTTTTTTAACCAAACTACACCCACCAACTGTATCAACGTGCAGAAGGAAGTGTGCATCTACTCATGAATGAGACTCTCATGACACCACAAGATGTGAACATTAATGGCGTCCTCCCTGGCTAAGCTTTAATGTTAGCAAGCTCAGTGGTGCTAACTGAAATGGCAGTATATGCATGCTTCCTTTTGCTCTGTGATGCAGTTCCCCTGGGTCATGATTTCTGGAAAGAAACATTGCTGTTGAGTTTTTCAAATGTATTATTTTGGCACTTTGAGCACCACAAGCTGAGTGCCATCTAGTTCTATTATACTGGGGAGAAGGCAGACATCTCTATGACTGATATCTCCAACACTGCAACTCACACCAACACAATCTAGACTGATAAATAGCACTACAGGTAAGAGGAAAAATATGTAAATGATTTTGGGGTGTAGTCGGCACAATTCTCTCCCTCTCTGGATACTCCCAAAACATTTTAACATTTCAAGTTTCCTTGGCTGTAGTTATACCTCTAGTTGACTGGATGCTAAGCAGAATGAGATAAGGAAAGCAAATACAGATGCAATGAGGCCAAATCTCCTTCAAAGCAAACAAAGAACTGACATGACTGGCTTGCATGTTCCTTAACATATTGAGACCTAGAAAACATTTGTTGTTTTGTGTTATGTACATGCTACATAGTAGACAAATGCAAGCAAATAACGGAAACTTTAAAGATGGGATTTTTGAATACGTCTTTGTAGTGAAGGACTGAAGAAACTGAAAAAGAAATCATCCTCTACATCCTTCTCACAACCTAAAATTGACATCTTAGGTTTGGTTTTCTTGGAGCACCCACATTTTTTCTTTAGACTTTCCTCGTCTGAATTTTCATTCCTTTTATTAGATATCAAAGTTTTAGCCAAAGCAAAACTTGGATATCGATATTGTTAATGAAGGTGCACACAGGTAAACCATAAAGAAACAATTCAATTACACATACAGTATAACAGCTTTTTATGGACTGCGAAGCAAACACTTCCATTTTATTGAGTTGTATGCATTTCATGAGTTTGATTACTAGCTCCATCAAGCAGCAATGCTGCTTTGTGCTGTAGTGAGTGATGAAGGCATAAGTGATAAAAAACTGCTACAGTAGCTTAGGGTTTTTCACACAACAAGCTCTAATGGACTGAACATTAAAAAATAAACTGCAGGCCCAGAAATGTGCAAATGACATAAATCATGTGTTAGATGAAGTTGTAGATGTCACTTGAATTTTCCCTCACAGCAGTTCACCCACCAAATGATCTTTTGTATATCAATTACCCTGTGTTAACGTTAAAATGGTAGTGAAAACTTTTTTCCCCCCATCCCTTTGGCAAACAAAGAATCCCAATATTTCTTCCAGAAAATTATTAATGTATAGAGGTAAAAAGGGTCCACGTTTAATAACAGAAAAACAATATCAAGATGTCTGTTTACAAACTCTCACACAACTTGCACAGTATAATCTCTAGTCTCGTATATCCAGTCATATGATCAGTATTTCCTAATGACATGCATTTAAAACTGAACTGAGAGTGAAACTTATCTGCGCTCTCAACCTCACAAAAAACGCAATTTTACCTCTCTGAACACAGGAGCAGCTGGTCTACTACTGACCCTATCAGTTAGTCAGTTTGTGGTGAACTAACCCTTTAAAACCCAAAACTGAGCATAGTGTTAGTTCAGGCAGGACATGATGTGAAGCCCAGCTCACATCCCAGTTCAATCAGCTGATCTCAAACAGTCCAGTCAACTGATGGAGCAGCTGATTAATGGAAGGGAGTCAGCTGATAGATCACATGGTTCCTCATCTCATTCAGGGCGCCCTATTTAAACTGCTCTGGCCTGCCTACTGTTGCTGCTTCCTCTGCAAGTCACTTTGCAACCCGCCTCCACCCCAGCTCCTCCTTTTCATGCTGTGTCTGACGTATCAGTGTCATTTCTGTTTGTCATTGATGCTGCTCTGTTCTGTTCCTGGGGGGTCTTTGCTGCTGCTCTCTCTGCCTTAGGCTTTCCATGTAGGCGCATGGAAGGGCAGGGAGGTGTGCTATCTCTGCCTCAGGCTTTCCTCATTTGCATGTGGAAGGGCAGACAGGTGTGCTCTCTCTGCCTTAGGCTTTCCATGTAGGCATGCAGAAGGGTGGAGAGGTGTGCAATTTCCACCTTAAGCTTTCCAAATATGTGTGTGTAAAAGGCTTTCTGTGTAGGCCAAAGGACAGGCAGAGAAGCCTCAGAACAGAGTCATACCGCCAAATATAATTCTGCAAATGGAAATAAAGATTTATTTGACTCAAGTGTTCCTTTGTCAATAGACTCTGGCCTTGAAGGGGCATAGATATGTTTTACTTTCTGTTTAGTTTTAAACATTAAGGTTTAAGCAAAATGCATCTGACTAGGAAGTACATTTATTGAATGGATAAATGACAGTTTTCAAACAGAATTTTTGATAAAGTTTTGCTGTTAAACATGGACTTTTCCTCCAAATCACCAAGAATTTTCTCCGTTTTTGGATTCTTCGTTCACTGGGGGCGTGAGGAAAAATAAAGGTTTCGTCATGAATTCAAGTTAACACAGGGTGAGTAGTTGATATACAAATGGTAATTGGGGGGGGTGAAGTACTACTTTAATATTAATATTAACATTAATATATTAATGTTGGGCAGTTTGACACTGAAAAAATAGCCATTTCCAAACCCAAAAAGTCTAACTAGGATTTTCTGTCTGTGCTGAAACCCCATAATTTGGTTTTAAAGTGATACAAGTTCAAAAGTAGGCTGGCGTTTGAGTCGATATCAGGATGAACTGTTAGCTGGTTTGTCCCACTCCACCTGGTTTCTCAGTGGAAGACACGCTCCCTTGACAGGAACCTGCGGAGTCTCTGTAATCTCTGGAGGAAAATCCCAGCTGTTAACGGGCACGTCACCAGCTGTGGCATTCAACGCTGCATGAGAGGCTGACGTGTCTGTAATTTCACACTGTGTCTCCCTCACACTGCTGCTGCTGCTGCTATAGTGCAGGTTGGGCTGTGACAGAGACTCTGCTCCGTTGATCAAGTTTGAATGCTCTAAATCAAAGAAGGTGTTGCTTTCACCAATCCCCAGTCCGAAGCTCTCCAGCATATCCATTACTGATGGTGTGGACGGGCCACTGGGGGTCTCCTCCTTGATAAGACTCAGCGTGGGCAAGATGTCCACCAACTCTGCCATCTCCATCGGCCGGATTACCTCAGTGATGCTGGAAGGAAAGTCCTGTTCACTGCTGTAGGACTCCTGTGTGTCCAAACCTGTGTACCCTCCTTCAAGCTGTGCGACAGCACCGGGCTCCAATCCAGCTTCGATTAAAGCGCTTGCACATCCTAATTCTGACTGGCCAAGGCTTGTCAAGTCAAGAGTTGATTGGGCGGTAATGTCTACAGGGTATCCTCCCTTCGCGACACCCTCCAATAACAGTGTGGCCTCCTCAGGGACAGCCATGATTCCTGACGGAGCAGTGATCTCGGCAGAGATGACATCTGGTGGATTTGCGGTGACTAAACACTCTGAAAGGGAAACAGGAAGAAATTAAAATCTTAATCCTCAAATTCAGCGACACCCCCAGAAAATTTTCATAAGGGAAGCCAGATGGGGCCGCTGAAAATGTAGAGGTGGGACACCAAAACCAAAAGCCGTAATTTACTTTCAGGAATTCGATTATTGTGTTAAAGTACAGAGGTGAGTAGTAACCTATGCCAATGTGAGACTTAATGAATCGCATACTGATATTCTTTGGTTTTTATTTTACAGTTAATGTTACTAATTATGTGATATGCTTAGACTAATACAATACTAACATTGTGAGGCCCACAACAGCCCTGTTTAAATGTTCATAGTTCTTCAAATAGGCTTGTCGTCCTTTTCTGTAAAAAGACATGTATACAGCTTTAATGAAGGAGTACTTAAGGTAAGGAACAAAACATTTCCTGGGACCAAGCCCTCTCAAGTTTCGGGAAGACTTGTGGATACCTATAGAACCCATTTTCCTTCAAATATCCTGAGATGAGAGTTCAGTGATAGTTGAATATGTTGAAACATGGTAACTGAGCACACACACTGTATGCATAATTTAACTACAATGACAGGCTTCACTGTCTCAGTCCTGAAAATGGTACTGGAATATAGTCCAATACATGCGTATCTGCACCCACATCGTCATTGTACCTGCAATGGCTCTCTGTGCCTGTATCCGATGGGGCCACGTCAGTCTGGCGGTCAAACTACTCTCCTCCTCCTCGCCATCGGGACGTGGCGGCGGGTCTCCTCCCATCACCAGGCCTAGAGGCACAGCCCCAACCCACTGCTTGGACCGAACGCACTGCAGACAGTCCATGATCCAGCGGGCATCCCTCCACACCACATCCAGACGCTGAAGAGACAGGAAAATAATGAGCAAGAGAGAAACTGAAGCAGCCGAATTAATTTCAGTCTGGCAGAAGTCATTTAATCATGCCTTTTTAGAGTCACAGATAATGTCATAAAGTCAACAAACATCTGCCTAGGGACTGGTCTGTCAGTGAAATGGTCAAAATACAAAATATCTGGGCTGCTATTCTTAATCAAGTACACTGATGGGTCCTTCATTTCTCTCATTAAACCCAAATTAATCACAGAAGAAAAGATGTATAAAAAGAAAAGCAGACAAAAACAGTCCTGTATTGCATGATTTACAAGTAGTTCTTTAAAGTATTGAGCCGTCTTATGTTTCCGCTTTCATGATCTTACCCGGGAAAGCTCTGTGATGTGGTTCAGGCGCTCTCGGGCCTCCTGCACCTCCTTGGTGTCCAGAGCCTCCCGCAGAGCCTGCTGGGCCAGATGAGTGTCCAGCTCCAGCCTCACCCAGGCCTGGCAGTACTGGGACAGGAAGTCCCGTTCATACGTCCAGAAGTGAACTGGTGATGAGGCAGAGTCAAAGAGGAAAAAGGAAATCACTACATCTCAGCCAAAATCAGTAACTTTAATAAAATAATTCTTGGTCATGTTTGCTAAAATATTAATCCTCCTTTTCATCCACGCCTCTGGGTTTGTTTTGACTCTAATTTAATACCATTTTTCCTTTTGACAGTTCTTGGATATTTCCACGCTAAAGGTTTGATGAAGTGCAGTAATGAGTTCTGAGGCTTCCTCTCTCAGCTTTAAAGCTAGGGTTGGTAACTTTTATGTAAAAAATGACATTGAAACTGTCACTATATTCACACAGTGGTGCATGAGATGGATAATCTGTGGAAAAAAAAAAATCTGTGCCTGATGGCATTTTCAAGAATCCATCACTCTTTAACAAAAACAACCAGTCAGAGCCGAGGAGTCTCTAAGGCAGCTGTCAATCATGTCAATCACTGCTGGTGTACGGTCATACTTGGTGGCGCTAATTAAATATGAATCAACATTCGGTTACTGCGTTGCCTGTTTCTCACCTCAAATGTTTCAAAAACAAAAAAGGCGGCATGGTGTTGCCATGGTTAGCATTACTGCCTCACAGCAAGAGGGTTCTTGGTTTGAACCCGGGGTGGGAGAGCCTTTTGCAAGTTTGCATATTCCCTGTGTCAGCGTCGGTTTTCTCCGGGTGCTCCAGCTTCCTCCCACAGTCCAAAGACACGCAGTTTAGGTTAACAGGTGACTCTAAATCGGCCGTAGGTGTAAATGTGAGCGTGAATGGTTGTCTGCGAGCTGTCCAGGGTGTAGCCCACCTCTCGCTCAATTGCAGCTGGGATAGGCTGAGATAGGCAGGATAAGCTGTTACGGAATGAATGACTAAATGTTTTCGAAACGTATTTTAGTGTATAGAGAGTTTGTGACCCAGCTGCCATGTTGAAAACAGTTGAGCCAAAACAAAACACAGCAAACGGAGCAAACTTTCTCATTTTGCAGCTAAACAGGACACTAAAATACGTTTCTGAAAACATTTGAGGTGAGAAATAAAAATGCAGAGACAGAATTTTAATGCATATGTCATCAGCACTGCCTAGTTTGACCGTTTGACCGCAAGTCATGTGCAGTGTGATTGACAGATGCATTTGAGGCTGATTAGTTGTTTTCTTTCAGGCGCAGTGGATTCTTGAAAATGCCTTTAGAAGCACTAAGAGGACAGAGACATGATCTTTTTTCCACACTTTATCTGTCTTATGCACAACTGTCACGATGTAGTAACAATTTCAGCAAATATGACATTGTTATTTTCTCTTAAAATTACCACCCGTAGCTTTAAAGCCGAGAGAAAAGGCCTCAGAACTCATTAGTGCAGTTTACCAAACCTTTAGCGTGGGAATTTTCAAGAAGGGTCAAAAGGAAAGATGGATTTAAATTAGAGTCAAAACAAACTCTAAAGAGTGCATGGACAGGAGGATCAAAGGACTAATTAGAGAAGGAAAAACAATGAAAGTGACTCATCTTAAAAAGACCCAAACTGTACCTCAGTGTGCTTTATACTTTTCAACCTAACTGCAATTGCTGAAATGCATTTCATGGGTTATTTTTGGGGGGTTATTTGAAATTCTGTACTTGAGTCCCTTTGAAGATGAGACACATTTATTGATCTTAGTAAGATGAAATGAAATGACTTCTGTCATTTTGTTCTTATGTGATGCAGCTATTTTTCTTCATTTAAAAGAGCTGCGGGACATCATGCTGTTATTACCAAAAGCAAACCAGGCATTTTAGTGTATCTTCGAGGGCAAAAGGTGGTCTCAGTTTGATGAATCTTTTTCTTTTTCACTCTTACTGTGGGCCCTTTCTATCAGCCTGCTTGAAAAACACTGATGTGAGACAGATCCCTTATCTGTGGACTATAGTTCTCCACCTACCCAGCTCAAAGATCTGCAGGGGCATGGTGAGCCCAGGCTCCTTGGTCCCCACCAGAGGCCAGTAGCTGGAGCTGAAGTCCTCACTGGGAGGCAGCAGCAGCACCATGGACACCTTGTCTCCAAACTGCAGCAGCTCCCGGGTGTACACACCATACTGATACGCCTGTCACACACACAAAAACACATCCAAATGTTATTAAAATCTGTTAACGTGTAGAATAAATACAGAATAATCTTATCATTTCTAAACATAATGGTATTGTTCAGAAGGGAGAATATCAAGGTGGCTGTTTGAAACCATCTTTACCCTGTAGAGGGGGATGTTGAGCTTCGTCAGGAGATGTGTGACCGCTGCTCTCAGAGACCTGACGAACTCCACCAGCCCGCTGCTCTCCATCACGCTCTCGTCCTCGCTGCTTAACAGGTTCGGAACGCTGTCATTGGCTGCAGTGTAAACATGACTTTGAAGCCATGCCCACTCCTCTCTGTCAAACAAAGGTGATGCAGTTAACAAAACAGTGCTGTAAAAGGCTTATGTGAGGGCAGATGCATGCTGTGCCCCATTAGGATCTAATTACATGTACTTTATGTTCAAAGAGGTCGAAACTAAAGCAACGCTTGTAATATTTAGAACAACTTTATTGCATTGCAGTGGTCTTGCACTACCCTGATGAAGGTCACAAGACAAAATGTGCTGGTCTTGCACTAGTGTTGCTAGAGTTTTTGACCTCTTTAGACTTCATTTTCTTCTTTGTGCACCTTAGATGTAGGTGAAGCTGTGCCAGGAACCCCTGCCCAGCTTGTACTTTATGTTCAGGCAGATAATTTTTCTAAAGCATTTCTCACATTTTCAGATTGATTTAGCATGATATCATATTGTTGTAAGGTAATGCAATTGCAAGCAGGGGGTGAAGACTAATGTGGAAGTCCAACATCCAAGAAACAAGAGTTGGCTGCCAAACCACATTCGTTCTTATGCCAAGAACAACCACATTTGAAATATTGTTTGCAAAGCATTCGGATTTTTCAACACCTGAAAGCTTCAACTGCAGTATAGTATGCTTTGGAAAATGCTCAACAAAACTAAAGTGTTATTTGTTGTTATGATGAGCCTGGCACAGTATGTCACAAGTTCAGACTGTGTTACCTGGTCACGTGGGCGTTGTGTCGGACCCGTGTGTGGCAGAGCAGATTGGGCAGCCTCTGGGGCACCAGGACTCTGATCTGTTCCACTGAGCTGCACAGTTTCAGGATGCCCACGTACAGACCAGGCTGGGCCCACTGAATGCTGTGCCTGTGGAGAGATAGTTTCTCCTGGAGAAAAGAGAGAAACAGGTACGGCATTAGGGATTAAGAGATGTAGTGTTTGGATACCAATGATTTGGAGTGTCTAATTTTGCTTTTAAGGAATACTTAACCCCCCAAAATTAATATTTATATATCAATTAGTTATTTAGTGTTGCATTGAATTCATGAAGAAAACTTTGCTTTTCTCGCATGCCTTCATGGTGAACAATGAATCCAAAAGAGGACAAAATTCTTGATGAATGAAAGTCACAGGGGACCACGTTTTAAGAACAGCAGAACTATAACAAAACATCCGTTTGCAAATTTTCACACAGTTTTTTCCAAGTGGCGACTACCAGGGCTGAAAAACTGAAGCACGGAGGTGCCAAAAACTGCAGTTCCTCTAACGGCCACTTGAGTGTGGCTCCAAAAGTGAGTCAATCCCCAAAGACCCCCATGTTAAAATGCCTGACTTTAAAGCAGAAATGTTTACAGCCTGTCACAGAAATTATTTTTTTCCAGTGTGTAATTTTTGCTAAAACCTTACAATTTAAAACCAGAGAAAAATGCTACTTGTCTGTGTGAGACTTGAATTATACTGCACGAGTTGTGTGAGAGTTTGTAAGAGGATGTTTTGATGTAGTTTTGCTGTTGTTAAACACGGACCGCTATGACTTCATTTCATCAATAATTTTCTCCATTTTTGGATTCTTCTTTCATTGTGGAGTCCAGCTGCCCCCTGATAGTCGACCAAACGTTAGTCGACCAGAATGGTCATTAGTCGGCAAGATTCATTGGTTGTTTAGTCGCAGAAAACAAACAAAACTCTATTAGGAGCCTTTTCAAAATAAATCAAACCCTATATGACTGGACAATGTGGGAATTTAATTTGAAAGGACAGACACAGGAAGTGTCCACGCTCAGCAGTCAGACAGGAGTCAGGTTAATTTCCAGGGCTGGTACCTGCGGTTATTCCACAGGCTAGTTAATAACATGTCGGGCAGGAAATCCAAAGTGTGGGATCATTTTGAGAAGGTGAAGGACGAACCCAAGGTGATATGTAAACTCATCTTCATTGGTCGACTACAAACATGACGTATCATCTGAAACATGGAAGTAGCTACATGCCCATTAGCCCACAGCGTCATTAACAGGCGGCTCGCTCAGTGTGTGACGTGCACTTGTAGATAAAATATAGGCCTATATTAATGAAGGTTCATTAGTACGGTTTTGTATTTCTCTGTAATGTAGCACAGTGTTAACAATGTTACTGATACTATTCTTTCTCACACCAACTCAAACCACTGTTGCCCCGCCCAAAATATGTCATTTAAATATTTAATTAATATCGTGAACATGCGGGCGACTAGTCAACTAATGGCCCTAAATGATGACTATTGGTCGACTAGGAAAATTCTTAGTTGGGGACAGCCCTACTGTGCAAGAAGAACAAAGTTTTAAAGGTTACTCAGGGTGAGTCATTGATATTCAAACAGTCATTTGGGGGTTAAGGTATTCCTTTAATTTGTTTTGGACTTGCTGAACTAATTCCATTGCACTTTTGAGGTTATTTGAGCTGCACAAGAGAGAAAAACACGGTTCAATAATCAAGTCTGGAAAGTCAATAAACTCAATCACTTTATGCACTCTATGCACTCAGTGCTCAATACATTCTGTTGCACGTAGCTGCTGCCCCATGATGTTTGACTTCTACTCCGTGTCTCTCTCTTTTACACAAACACAAACCCAGGTTCACCTTGAGCTGCTCATAGAGCATGTCCATGGCAGTGGGCTCGGGCAGCAAAGGCGTTCTGCTGCGGTTCTTTTCAAGGCGGGCCAGGGGCATCCAGTGAAGCGGAGGGTCAGGGGGGCTTGGAGCGGCGCAGACAAGAAAGGGTAAATAAAATGAAATGCAACCACATGGAACAACAAATTAAAAACTCAGTTTGATTAATTCATTTTAATACAACAAAGCCTATAACACCAACAACCAACAGACAGATGTATGGATATCCTAAAAACATCACTCTGCATATCTGCTAAGCAAACCCTGCCTTCTGCTTGATTAGGGTATTATCTCCCTCGGGCAAATGATTAAGCATATATTATTTGGGTGATTGGAAATTCACTGTGGTAGATTTTAAAAATGTTTGCTTCATTGAAAATGATTGGGACATGACTGTGGACAGCTGTGTGGTGAGTTGGAGACTGTCCTTCAAACAGGAGACAGAGGTTAAAGCCTCCTGTGATACTGTGTGCTCTCTGGAAAGAAGATTTGTCCAACAGGGATTAACAGAATGTACCAAAAGCCTCTTTCACACCTGGGAGGGTTTGGGAACTCCTTCAAAGTCACCAGCAAGACATTGCCCTGCCTGTCTTTCAGAGGTTCATAGTACACCTGGCCCAGGTCCACTGTTCCCAGGGAAGACTGAAGGCAGAGAGAGGTTGAGATGTAAAACAGAGACATGCGGATGAATAAATATGAGGATATTAGGGATTAATGCTGTGAAACACAAGTTCTGGGGGTACAGCTTTGTAGCCAGAGATAGGGAAGCAATGCACCAGTAAAAAGACTGGGAGGAAGAGGAGATATTAAGAGGTAATTAAACTAGCAATTAACCCATTTTGATGCCTCCCATCATGCTGAGTGTGCTGCTTAACTTCCTACCTGCAGCTGGGAGACGGCTCTTAAAATGTTGTGCCTGTTCTGGAGGAGAGACGACGGAGATGAATGAGCCGAGGACAGGGCCTGCTGGAGCCAGGGCACTTGTTGCCATGCACAGGACAACTATAAGAAAAAAATTGCATTAAATTTTTAAGTGCAATTCACACAGAAAATTCCATTATTCTGAATAATTAAAGGTGCTGTATGTAACTCTGGAGGAAGACAGTTAATTGTTGAAATATTAATGCTTTGGACCATCAACCCATAGTGCCAGTATTTGACGATCTGGAAATGAGACTCAACAATTAACTATGTCTCTATCTCTTTATCTCTATGTCTCCAGAGTTATACACAGCACAGTGAAAACAATGCACTGACTACACGTGTATTAACTGTGTTCCAAATGGATTTAAAAGTCAGCAACAGTGTTTATGTGAGTGTGTGTTGAATTAGCACGTGTCCTACTGACAGTTTACCTTGGCAAACCAAAGAAAGTCGTGGGTGATGGAGGTGGAGCAGCACTGGATCTCCACCAGTGGGATTTGATCTTCAGCTGTCACCAGGATATTTTCCTTGTGGTAGAACACAGTTGCCAAGTACACGCCCCTAATGAGATAAAGCCAAGACAAGACCAAATGAAATTAATTTTGACAGACCATCCAGTTGGAAACATATTTTTATAAAGATATTAATATTCAGATGATGCTGTCATAATTGTAAATAACACTTAAAGTCCCCCTCCAGACATGTTTTGAAGTTTGTCAAGATACATTGCTACAATTCATATTTTTGTTTTTGTCCAGAACCACATCTACTTTTTATGCCTAATTGTGAAATTCTGGGTATGGCCTACCTCCTGCCCACCATCACTGCTTGCACTAAGTTGACTGGTGAAAGAGTGGCGGGCATCAATATGGCTAATGTTACCATTACCTCAGTCAGACCACAGACTGTAAAGGTAACAGATGTAGATACTGTGACATCACCCACTGGTTTGTGGATTCCCGCTTTGAAGGCTGGAGTTTGGCATTTTGGCCGTCAACCATCTTGGTTTATTGGAGCCAGAAGTGACCATTTTTTGGAGAGAGGGTGGATCTGACTGAGAAGCCAAGGACACTATTGGTGGACAGCCCGTCACTCAAATTAATAGATATTAACGGTGAGTAGGGCTGCCACTAACAATTATTTTCAGTGTCGACTAATCTGTTGATTATTTCTTCGATTAGTCGACTAATCATTTCATCAAAAAATGTGTTAAAATGTTGAAAAATGTCAGTCTGTCTCACCCAAACCCCAAAATTATGTCATCTAATGTCTTGTTTCATACTCACGCCAAAGGGTTTTAGTTCACTGTCATGGGAGAGTGTGTAAAGCTGCCAATATCTGAACGTAAGAAGCTGCAGTAAGAGTATTTTGGGGTACTTTTATAGTACTTTTATATGAAAAATGACTCAAACCGATTAGTTGACTACTAAAATAGTCTCTGATTATTTTAATAGTTGACTAGTCATCGATTAGTCGACTAATCGTGGCAGCCCTAACGGTGAGTTATGTAAAAATTCACCCCCTTAGATTTGTCATGAATGGGGAAATTAGCTATGGAGACCAAAACTGTTAATTGTAGCAGGCTGTAAACATGTTTATTTCTGCTGTGAAGTTGGGCATTTTAACATGGGTACCTATGGGAATCGACTAGATCCAGCCTGAAGTGGCCATTCAAGAAATTGCAGTTTTTAGCACTTCATGTTGGCCTCATTTTTCAGTCGTAGAAGTTGCTGCTTGAGTCAGACCCACCCTGCTTTCCAAATCGCATACTTCTACTATATACTTTTAGTATGTACTGCAGCTGCCCTTAAAAAGTATGTAGTTTAGTATGCAGTATGCATGCAGTATGCATGCTATTGGGACACACACATCGCTCCCTGAACTCCGACCCTCTTGCTCACTTCCGCCGCCGTCCGTAGCGCCACATTTGAATATTTTTTGTTGTTGTACTTTTGAGTTGCAGCAAATCTCCTCTTGTCGAGCTCGCCAGAGTCGTGCATACTGTCGGAGGTGCCGGAGAGCTCTGTTGCTTTTATGTCGTAATGTATGTTGTTGTTTCTAATAAACTGACGTGTTCACGTAAACAGTTCCAAGCCTATTATTAGTGACCTGTCTACTGAACTAGTCACCAGTAGGCATATTAACCCCCTTCACACACAGCTCTCTGTTGCTGGCAGATATTTGTTGTTAAATATATTCACAGCTATGCAGCTGCTGGCACTATATTCTGTCTGCACGTGAAGCAGCCTTACATTCACATTACTTTTATTTGTAGTGTAACATACTTGCACATTCTTACTACATTACTTAATATGTATTTGACTTTTAGTATTTATATATTTACTAGTCTATACTGCTCATACCTGGCCCATAGTGTATTCATATTTAGTCATATTCATTCATTATTTATACCACACTTACACCACTGCCTATACTGGTAGAATCTTCTATATTGTCGTCATAGTTGAACCCTAACATTGATTATACTATAATCACAATAAAGTTGAATGTTGTAACTGTGTTCTTGCAAAACTGTATGATATGTGACAGTATATAATCAGATCATTGCAGTCCTAATATGTAGTGTCTTAGAATCTCAAATTAAATAAACCATGTATGAAAGGAAGTGTGGGCGTTGGTTGTACACGCAGCTCAGTCAGTGTGACGTAACTTCCGCTGCTCAAAGGATTGTGGGTCAGAATGGCCAAAGAAGCATGCTGACATGCATACTGCGAAATATGACCAGATGTAGTAGAACATCCTGGTACTTTTGGCATACTGCATCTGACATACTACACTACACTAATTCTTTTTCTGGCATACTAAATAGTATGGTAGTATGGGTATTGGAACGCAGGGCCAGACTCAGATGATTAGTCTGTTGTGCACCAAACATACAATAATAACTGCTACGATGGTGTTTTTGGTTGATAGTGAAAGGAAGCTCCAGGGTCAGGTTTACATCAACATACTACAAACTCTACCATGTTTGTTGTCACAACTTTCTCTGTGAAAAACACTTTTTTGTGTGGTGGGGGACTTTAACTTTATGGCAACTTATGCAAATGATGTTTATGCGTTGGTGCCGTTTCTATCAAGCCCCATTGATTTCCTATTTTTGTTTTGGGTCACTTTAATGTAAATAGTTTGGCAGCACCTAGTGGAAGTTTTTGGTGCTAACCAAAGTGCTCAGCGTCACCTGACCTTGGATATCAGGAGCCTCTTATTGAAGGCAGGTGTGCTGAAATTAGTGGACTGAGGAAGATGGCACGTGGATACAGACTTCAACTGCTGTGTGTTTGGTTTGATCTTAGTATTGTATGTTTGATGAATTGTTTCCCCACTGATATGAACTTTATGTTAAGGCCTGTTTATTTTGGGGAATGTTCGTTTGGGTTGTTTTGATGCGATAGTCGGACAGCTAATCAAGCCACTCTCTACGAATCATGGAAGTCAAACAACTCTTAAACCACCTGAACCATCCTGCACCATCAAACAGTGAGTAACTAACCAAAGACAATTATGATCATGTCTTACTTTATGGTATCTGTTGTATTCTGAACCTGTGATTTAGCTCAGAAGCATGTGCCTTCAAACCACAATGTTTTGAGTAAGCTATGCTGTGTTCAACCACTTTTTTAAAGCAATGCTGGGGTTCTTATTCATGCATTTGCACCATTTCCAACTTAGAAGCTCCTTTATTCATCTACTGTAGCTACTGTGGTGAGTAAGATCCAGTAGTAATGTGCCACTTCCCACAGTTCAGTGATTTCAAACATCATCCCGTTCAAAAGAACTCATCACTAATCTTGATGCTACAGAAGCTTCAGTGTAACTGCTGTTCTTTTTAATAACCATAACAGGTAAGGGTTTGGACTTTGAGGTCTACACTGTTGTAATTGCATCCCATTTAATCTGTTACTCCCCATACCCTCAAGACACACTGGGGCAGGTAAGACAGATGGAGCGCTACCTCTGTAGGAGACGAACAAACTTGGTAGCGGACTGGAACAGTTGTTTGATGCCTCGGGACACAGACAGACGCTTGCTGGGACTCTGGGGCTTAGAGCTCTCTGTGGAGCCGGGGAGAGGAGGATCAGACAGGATGAGAATCACTTTATCTGCCAAAGTACATTCACCACGTATGCATGATATATTTAAACGGGTGAAAGTGGTGAAACAATTTCCCCTGTAATCAAAAGAGATGACACAGTGCATGCTGCTGATATGAAATGGTGTCATATTGGAATAGAAATCTATAAAATGAGCATATCAGGTCCTTATGAAACATCGTAACAGTTTGTTTTGATGTCCTCAATATTCATTATGTTTTCTGGCACTTCAGTATCTCTTAATTAATACAAGTACAACAGAACATAAGGTCAAAACTATTAAACACCTACAGCACTTGAGAGATAAAAGCAATTCTGATTGCAGATGTGATGCTGGAATAAAAAACGCACATGCTGTTATTGGATGCATTATGCAGAGAGGAAGGTAGATTGTTTATTAGCTTTTTTTAGTATTTGATGAAATAACACCCAAAACTACAGTGTTTCCCAGGAGTTAAAAGCAGTAGGTTTTAAAGTAGCAGTGTGTAAGATTTAGGAGGATTAAGTTGCATCTAGCGGTGAGGACCGCAGACTAAAACTTCACTTGGTTAAGATTCCTTCAGAGGTCATTATTCAAGAAGTTTTTACCCTGAGACGAATTATCCTCAGAGGTCTCTTCCTCTCCAAAACAAACAGACCTGCTGATTAGAGCCGGTAAAAACACTGAATAAAGCAGTTTGACTTTATAAATCAGTGTTTCTCCAACACTGTTGATTCTGTCTGCGACAAGCACCTGATAATGTGTGCTCGCCTTTTTTTCTGATTCCAGGTGTTCAGGAGATTTTTAAGGTGAGCCAAATTGCCTGCAAAGATCTCCTCCTCTTCACAACAAATGGACCCAATGACTTAAACCGGCAAACACACTAAATAAAGCAGTGTCACTTAAAAAGGTGAGGTGGTTTAGGCAGCTGATCAGGATAACTCCTAGGCGCCTCCCGTCAGAGGTGCTTGGAGCACGTCCCACTGGTAAGAGGCCACGGGGCAGAACCAGAACACACTGAAGGGATTACATATCTCATCTGGCATGGGAACGCCTCGGGGTCCCCCAGGAGGAGCTGGAAAGTGTTGCTGGGGAGAGAGGCGTCTGGGGTGCTTTGCTTGGCCTGCTGCCCCCGCGACCCGGCCCCGGATAAGCGGATGAACATGGATAGATGGATGGATGTTTTCCAATGCTGTTTGGCTCATGCAGATGGGCCACTAGCCCAGCACCTGCTAAGGTGAGCTTAACTTTGGTCTCTGATAAACTAAGATTGAGGCATTTGGGAGGTTTTTACCAGGAGCCGAATTATTCGCTACAGTCTCTTCTCTCCAAGACAAGCAGATCCAGTAATTTAAACCACTGAATAAAACAGTTTCACATTAAAAAACTGATGTTTTTCTGACATTGCTTGTTGCACAGGTGGCGCAAAAACGTGAACGTCCCTATCTAGAGCCAGTGTTTGGTTTTCGTTTTGGGCTACTGGGTTTTACTGCGTTTTGGGTTACTGCCAGAAACATGGCGGTGCACCACAGTGATCTCAGTGGACGAGGACCTGCTCCCTATGTAGATATAAACGACTCATTCTAAGTTAACGAAGTAACTGTATATATTTTCAGGTGATTATACACTAAAAAAAGTGTACTTCTTGTATTATATTCCATTTTAGCCAATATATCCTCCTAAATCCTACACACTGAAGCTTTTCTTGCCAAATATGGAGTATAATTAGAAATAGTAAATATGTAAATATTAGGACATCAAAATTGACAAAGAAGCTTAATATATTTTTCCTTTTTAATATGACAGAAAACAGTGTTTCTGTGGTGATAAATACACCTCATACATTTCACGGACCCATTATCCTCGCTTCACAGCAGCTAGATATGCAATCGTTGCATCACCAAGTGTTACCTATACAGAATCCTCTGTAATGTGGTTCTCTGGCGTCTTCCAGCAGTTTCCTCACAAGGCCCTCGTGATTCCTGAACTGTGACTTCACTCCGCTGCACTCTCTCCAACCTGCACAGGAAGGAAGAGAGAAACAAATCATCGCTTTCATTTTTTTGCAATTAGGGAAAATCATTCAAGACATCAAGAACTCATTTGCAGGCGAGTCCTGAGTGCTTCTCTCTTTCTGTCTTGGTGATTAGGAAGCAAGAGCAATTGCATGCGAGACCATCTGTGTGCTGCGACTTGTTTCAGTGCTGAATCACTCTGAGCTGCTGATGTCTCCTTTTAAGTTAGATACGATGTTAAATGGTGTTATGATGCGTTTAAATGGAACCGGTGAGCTGGTGTTTACGAAATGGGAAGTTGTGAACAGGGACTCATGGACCCAGAGCTCTCAAAAAATATCCACCTACACGTACAAGGTCGTGAATACTACAGCAAGGGGGTGTTCATATGGACTCTTCTCATTAATAAGGTACACACGACCCCATTTGAATGCAGCTTCACTTAAAGGTCCAGTGTGTAGGATTTAGGGGGAGAAATCGGCAAAAAATATAAGCAGCATGATTTCTTTAGTGTATAATCCTCAAAACAGAATAATTGTCTTTCATTACCTTAGAATGAGCTGTTTCTAGTAATATTAATAATACATTGGATTTATATAGTGCACTTCTGGATACTCAGAGAAGCAACACAATGATACAAGAATACAATGATGAAATAATCCATAAGGGAAACAATGCAGCGAGGGAGAAGAAGCTCACTTTTTTTCGTACTTCTGTACTTACACTCAATATTTTGAGTGCATAAGTGCGTTCACACTGAGAAGTATGGAAAAATGCAGTGCACTATGAGTACCCGGATGGTGCACTCAAAACGGTCAACAGTTGAGTGTGGAACTATGGACACTTCTCGCCCTCAATGGTCGCCATCTTGGCTACGTAGCGAAGGGGAGGGGCTACTTTTCAAACTGGAAATGGCGGCCGAGGACTGTGCGCTGCATTGTACAAATACAGTTTTTTTGCACTGAGCACCACTATACTGTTGTCAGGTATAAGCCAGCAGTATGTTTGTTGGGTTAATTTAGCTGTCTGTAATGATTTGGTACCGCGAACGATAACGCGAATGCTAATGCTAGTTTGCTAACTAGCTAAACTGCAGTCGTCATTTGTTTGAGACAACACTACCCTGTCGTTCATGCACTACGCCAATAAGTAAGGATAGACCGATACATCGGCCGGCCAATATATCGGGCCGATATTTGAGTTTTTTACTTGTATCGGCATCGGCCGATATGCGCATGGGTTTGCGGATTTTATTTTTCCCTGGCACTTTTTTTCATTTGAAAGTATGTGGTTAAGTTGAACAAAGCTGTTGAATCCTACTGTGTACAGTAGTTGGTGTTTTATTTATGCTTCAGTTTAAATATTTGTTTATTTTATAAAGACATTACTGGAAGATTTAAGAGCACTGAACTCTTTTTTTTATTTGAATGTATAATAATAATAATAATAATATTCTACCTGTTCTACCTCAACTTTCCATCTTGTTTTAGTATTTTTTACTGTTCAATAAATGTTTCTTATTTTAAACTTGAGACCTGTAAAATTTGTTATCATTGTGTCATTTTTTTTTTTATGTATATTGAGGGAGCAAAAGCAGTATCGGCCCCAAATATCAGCTCAAGAAAATCGGCAGTCCATAATCGGTCATCGGCTAAGGGTGATGGAAAAAAATCGGTATCGGCATCGGCCCTAAAAAATCCATATCTGTCTATCCCTACCAATGAGTACATAGTGCACATAGTATACTACATGGAAGTGTACTGATGGAAGTATGTGATTTGAGACACAGCACTTGAATTCTGCCATGTTGCACCACCATGTTTCTACGGTAGCCCAGAATGGACAAACACTGGCTCTAGATAGGGCCACTCGTGTTTTTGCGTCAGCCATCATAGTTAGCAGCTCCCCCGCTACAAGATGCATGGGAAAAACGCAGATTTTTTTTTTTTAATGTTAAACTGCTTCATTCAACTCTTTATTTAAAGTATTTCTAAATATTTAAACAAAACATGAACACCACAGAGAACACTGTGTGGGGGCACGGCAGTTAAGTATTCATAAGTCCACGTGTCCTTTTATTGTCCAGACAGTCACGGTGAAACTGCGTAAGAGGGCATTTCTCCCATTTTTGAGGAATATTTCTCCTCTTGACCTCAGAGAAAAAGTAATCTTTTCCATTATAAAGATATCCTTGTTTTTGTCCATCCATCCTTTAAGGCTTGGAGGCTCAGATTTGTACTTCTTTGTAATCGCTTTCTTGCTGGCAATAAACAGTATTTTACACAGATGCCAATCTTTTTCATCTCTCACATCTTCCCTCATTGCACCGAAATACAGGACCTTGACATCAATAGGTATTTCATATCCCAAAATCTTTTTCATAATTGAACATATTTTATTTGAATACTATTTGAATTTTTGGACACGGAAAAATCATTCTTTTTTTTTTTACTGGTTTAAATCACTGGGTCCATTTGGTTTGGAGAGGGAGAGCCCTTTGTGGATAATTTGGCTCCTCGTGAACACACACATTAGCAGGTGCTGGGCTAGCGACCCGTCTGCAACTAGCCAAACAGTGCTGGAGAAACACTTTGATTTGTAATGTGAAACTGCTTTCAGTGTTTTTACTGTTTTAAATCACCTGGTCCGTTTGTTTTGGAGAGGAAGAGACCTCTGGGGATAATTAGGCTCTTGGTAAAAACCTCCTTCACAGTGAACACTGAAGATATCCTAACTGGGAGTTCACGCTTGGCACAGCTGATTGCACTCTGTAATCCTTACCAAAAGATGCCACTAAATCCTTCACACTGCTCTTTAACCGAGACTGCAACATGCTGAATATCACTCATATTGCTATTTTTGTTGTATTCTGACTTATATTTGGATTTATATGAATATATTTGACGTTTATTCTCCATTTCAGAAACATTGTGTGGCGTTTCTTGCATCATTGCACAGTTTAAAGTGAAAAGTAACAGCAGTGAGAGAAAGAGGACGGCATGCAAGAGAGATTATAAGCCCAATTCAAACTCAAAGCACGGGCACAAGGCCCATTGACTCGCAGTGACATCCTTAATTCTCCACGTTTTAATAATTCATTAATCTACCAGCCATGAGTGGATTCCACTTTTTCACATCAAGCTTGATGTCAGCCAAGTAATTTCATTACACAGGCACAGAGAGAGCGAAAGCGAGAGGGGAAAAAAATGGAGCCCCTTTCAAAGCTGCAAGTCCACATTCATCAAAGTTTGCAGTTCGGTATACTCACTGGAGGGGGCAGCGCTGACTGGCGTGGAGCACTGAGGCGGGCCCCATCCTTTCACATTGTAGGCACTCACTCTTACAAAGTAATGCGCTCCCTGCATTTGGAGAAGCACCAGACCGCCAAATTATCACCATGCATTAACCTTATGAATCGTTCACTCTGGGACAAAGAAATCACATACCGCTGTCATTATTAATTCATCTGGTTAAGTAAGGCAGTTGAGTGCGATAAGTGTTCTCTTATGGGAAGTGGTTCGGCACAGTAGATGATGATTGGGGCGCAATAAATACAGTCTGTGTGTAGGTCTGGAGGTAATGTGTGTGAATTCTGTGTGTGTGGATGACTGCATTTCCCAAAACCATTTAGCTTTGAATGCGCGTGTATATATCTACACTGTGTGTGCGCAGTTAGAATCTGATTGGTGCTCGCCTCTATGTGTGTGTGTGTGTGTGTGTGTGTGTGCTTCCTACTATATGACTTACTGCTGTGAGCCCCTTGATAACATAGGATGGGTTCTTGGTCTCTGTGACTTGGGCTGAGCCAAGGATGCGTTTGAAGCTGGCTGAGGTGCTCCATTCCACTGTGAACACAAAACAATCTCAGTGACAGATTATTCTCTGGCTTTGCTCAAAGGGGAGAACTAAGGATTTGAGTGTTTACAGTCTCAGGAACTTGCTGTACCTGGGCTTAATCCACCCTTGGCTGCAACCTATGACATTTATGCAGCTGTAAAACTAAGTAGCAAAAAAAGAGAAGCCAAACGACATCCATAAATATGAAGCTTTTATAACTGTCAGGCTGAATGATGTATGAGTCCTTGATTATATTATACCTTTATTTAGCCATAATGTCTCTCTTCATGTTTCAATCAAGGGTCCTATATTATTTAACAGTAACCTTGGTATTTCTCAACCTTGTGACTAATGGGAACAACAATTTTTGAAACTGGTCCAGAATTAAAAGAGAATGCTTCAGCAACCATGAAGCAGGCTGCAGTAACACTTCTTGGGGCATATGTGCATCATGAATGTACGTTCACTCAGTGTGCCGGCGACTTTTAAGGTGGAATGTTACCTTGAACCCTAACTTAACTTAATGTTACTCAATGCAGTTGACATGAATCTCATTAGTCACTTAGAATAAAAAAAAACCCTGGGAAAACAGGGTCTACGTGGATAAACACTGAGGATACCCTTTATTTTCACTCTATCCATCCTTCCATCTGAAGTGTCGTTTCCCACCACCTACCTCTGTAGCGGGTAATGAGCCCCATGGTGTTGCCCTCTGGCTCCTTAATCGCCACAAACAGAGAGGATGTGCTGGTCACCAGTATGGACACATGACTGGGAGGTCCAGGCAGCTCTGTGGGAAACATTTCGACAGAACATCAGCTTAGCTCTGAGACTAAATTATGCATAATACAACAACAAAAGAGAATAGGTTTTATAAGTATTTTAAGTATTGTACATATTTTATTTAAATCAACTTCATTTGATGAATAAACATTTAATTTATGATGCTGTTAGATTGCTGCTACATTGCCCTGTTAATATAAATGTGTGTCTCCCTTTGTGTGCAGCAAGCGGGAGAGCAAGCTGTTTTTTGACAATTGTTTTTGAAAGGATAATGCCAACAAATATGGATTGAAGCAGATTTTCTTGATGTAAACATGCTGTAAATTGTGGGATAGATTGCACCCATCTTTTTTGAATACATTTTTAAATTTTGGACTTCACAATGCTCTTGAGTTATTGGAAACTTCTTAATACTATAATACTAATAATGTTAGTGTAAACTAATCTTTATGTGCAACTGTGCAGAAATACTGGTTTAAATAGAATGAGCAGACATTAAAAAAAAAGCATTTGAATGTTAATTTCAAATGTAAATGTCAACGTTATGAATGAGGTTTCAAACTATTCGGTAAAGCTCTATTCATTAAATTTATCTTTTTAAAACTTACTGTATCTTTTTTATTTCTTATATACCATAAGTAATAACACACACATTTTTAAAGTATTTTTTATGGGTATTTCTGCTCTATTTGATAGTGAGGAAATGCCCCAGGCTTGACTAAAACCTGGGCTCCGGCAGAAAAGACTCAGGTTTAAAGGAACAGTGTGTAAGATTTTATGGGGTGTAGTGGCATCTAGTGGTGAGGATTGCACATTGCAACCAGCTGAAACTTCTCCCGGTTAGAATTCCCTCAGTGTTCATTGTTCAGGAGGTTTTTACCAGGAGCCACTGAATAACATGTATCTATTGTCTGTACTAAGAGTTTGGCAAGCAAGCATTTATATATGCAGCTCCATATATGTGGAATCTTCTGCAGAGGGACTTAAAGTTGTACTCATTGGTTCCTCTCGACTGTGTCAAAGCACTGTTGCAGGATTTTTGTACACAGTCTTCTATATGCTGATGTCATGGTGTGTCTTGTCTTTGTAGTCATGTATAGTTGCTGTTTTTTTGCGTTTTTATGGTTCATTTCTGATATATATTAACGTACTTTTTAGCTTTTCTTTGTAGTACTCTTATTTTGTGTTTTATACTGCTTGTTTTAGAGCTTTACATTTTTATTTATTTTTGTTCTGTGTTGTCTAACTTGTGTTGCTGCCTGTCTTGGCCAGGACACTCTTGGAAAAGAGATTTTAAATCTTAACATAACTTTTCTGGGTAAATTATGGTTAAATAAATAAAAACAAATTTTTAAAAAAAAAGTGTTTCTCTGATGCTGCTCATTGCAGAGGAGCTGCTAACTATCTAACTCTCACTAACTGGCACGAAAACACGAGTGTTCCTGTCTAGAGACACTGTTTGGTTTGTCCATTCTGGGCTACTGTATAAACATAGCAGTGCAACCCGGAGGACTCCATACAGGTGGAAGTGTTCCTTATGTAGATATAAACAGCTCATTCTTAAATAACAGAAACATGATTCTTCTTTTCAGGTGACTATACACTGAAGAAAACATACTTATATTCAATTTCTACCCATGTATCCCCCTAGATCTGACACACTGGACCTTTAATGGTACCCAACCGAGGCACACACTTTTGACACCTTTCGGTTTCATGTATGCCGTTACAGTGTAAATATTGCACAACAAACCACTAAATCCTGCTACGCCAACTCTCAATGGACAACCACAGATAAATTATTTATTTTCTTATGTCGACCTGAATCTTGTTATCCTGGCCCTCAGCCTAACCAACCAGGGTTACTACTAAAAGTTTGAGTTTTTCCTGTTGGAGCTCTGTGTTGCCCCTAGACACTGACTCTCTACCAGCTCTGTATGGAGATGAACCTGCACTCTGACCTGCTTGCCCATGAATAGACTCAGTGAATGGAGTTTCCGTTCAGGAATCAGCAAGCATGCACAATATTACTATTTAAACTGTAACCTGAGCACCATCCCAGTTAAAGATGAATTTTTTGAGTTTTATCAAATGTAATTGGGACCTCAGCCATGACCCAGAGCGAATAGATGGAGTCACAGGCCTCAGACAAAAACACATTTATATTTTACATTTAGCCGCCACTCTTATCCAGAGAGAATTGTAACAAGAGCATGCTTAATTTCCCTGCACCAAGAATAAGAGCCGCTGCCTTATTGCCCTTAAAATAACGCTGTGATCATAAAACAGACAGGGGAGAGAGCTGGAAGTGCTTGAAAGAGAAATTAAATGGGAGCTAAGGAGACACATTTATACAGAGCAATTGGAGGGGATACAGTAGGGAAATCATCACATCATTCAAAAAAAAAAAAAAAACGAGATTTTGAACCAATGGAGAGCCAGGAGGAAGGACTTGAAAAGGTTGGTGTACGGAAAGGAAAACTAAGAGTCCTGATATAGCACAACACAGGTTGCACCAAAGCCTTGGGTGTGGATTTCCAGGCAGCACCAGGGTTTTGAATTCGATACAAGCAGCCACTGGCAGCCGGTGGACAGAGAACAGGGCATGGGAGAATTTGGAAAGGTTGATGACGAGGCAGTCTGTTGAATTTTGGATGAGTTGAAAGGGGTTGAAGAGAAACTTTCAAGAGGCTGGCTAGGAGTTACAAGAGTCCAGACAGGAAATCAGTAAACTTAAGCATGAGGTTGGGCTGGGAATACCTGATTACTGTTTTCTTGTCGGCACTGTTACAGGGATTTGAAGAGGAGAGTTAAGAAAAAACGTAGTTGTACCTTGTTGAGAGTTTGAAGAAAACAGAAAAAATTCAAGATTACCAGTATTTCGAGCAAGAGTGGACTGAAAAGAGACATGCCTGTGACCTAGCCAGTGTCCCAAGATGCACTCCGAGAAAATGCCACAAGCTGACCCCACACCACTGACCTGTCTTTTGGAAGTTCTGTCTCATCCGGCAGTACAGTTGCAGCCTGAGGCTCCAGAGGCGGATGTGTCTCTGGACATCAGCCTGCGCCTGAGGTCCTGCCCCTGCCTTCCTCAATAACTCCTTCTTCCTCTCCTCCACCCGTTTGCTCGCCAGTGCCACCAGAGCATCCAGCTTCAGCGCCCACTCTGCAGGTCGGCACACTGAGAGGAAACACAGACAGATTCTGAATATGACTTGAATGAAATCAAACCCAATAGAATTCTAATGTTACTTTAGGGCTATTGAGAAAATCAAATATAATGATATTTTTGACAAATAGGTCAATATCGATATTGTGATAATATTGTAGGGTTGACCATTGGTGCTTTCACAAATAGTTACACAATAAGATTCTTGATAATCATCAGTAACGTGGATATAATAACTAATTGGGTAAAGGCCAATAATAGAACAGCTACAACAGTCTGGTAAGTTCAGAAAATTACATTTCTTGGGCCGTATTCACAAACATTCTGAGGCTAAGCAGGGAGTCCCACCTTAGGAGTGATTTAGGAAAGTTCTCAGATATGGGGTGCCGTTTGTAAAGTGGCTCACACTGAAAATAACATCAACATTTTGCCACATTTAGCTTCAAACAATGTTTAAAAAAGTGTTGTGAATTTTTTTTTTGTGTCACCTTTTACCACATTTACAACAATATTTGTTAACTTAGAAATATATTAAATAGTTAAATCTAAATATTAAATGTGGCACCTAAATGTTAAATCTAAATATTAAATCTAAATCTAAATCTAAATGCTAAATCTAAATCTAAATATTAAATCTAAATCTAAATACTAAATCTAAATCTAAATCTAAATGTTAAATCTAAATATTAAATCTAAATCTAAAT